CACATTGACTTCAAGAATTGTTGTGGTCCCACGGAGGTGTCTATTTGCAACACGGTACAGCGTCATACCGTGGGGTATCCTCTGTCCATCGGCTCCCCGATTCCGAATGTGAACACTTATGTACTCTCGCGTGACCCTTCGAGCACACAACCGATCCCTATCGGGGAGGTTGGCTGCATGTGGGTCGGAGGCATCGGAGTGAGCGGGGGCTATCTCAACCTTCCTGAGAAGACAGCTGAGCGATACCGGCCGGATCCGTTTGTTGGTGGTGGCGCGATGATGTTCAACACGGGCGATATTGGGCGCTGGCGGTCTGATGGACAATTAGACCATCTGGGGCGGGCGGATGACCAGGTCAAATTAAAGGGCTTCCGCATCGAGCTGGATGGTGTTGCTGCCGCTCTTGGAGTGAGTTCGCCATTGTTTCGATTGACACAGGCTTAATGGCGTATGGCAGACACATCCTGACGTCAAAAACTCTGTGGCCCTTCTTATCAATAGCGAGCTCTGGGGCTTCGTCACGCCGGCGACCGTCGATCTCGCGAAAGTCCGTGACGCTGCTGCTCGCATCCAGCCGTATCATTCTGTCCCCACCCAGTATCTTGCCATGGACGAGTTCCCGATCACCAAGAATGGCAAGGCCGACAAGCGCGCGTTGCTCGTGTTTGCCGAGGGCCATCCCTGCGAAGGCGGGAAGCGATACTCTGCTGCCAGTCGAAGCGGATCTTCTTCTCCTTGAGCGCGCCTTCTTCATCCATTCCTTCATTCATTTATTCTTGGATTATGGGCTTGGACTGCTCTCGTTCTAAGTATATTTCAATAACGTACATCATGTCGTCTGTACTATGTACATTTGTAGCTTAGGTGTTTTTGTACCACTTGGGATCCTGAAATCGAATTTTTCTGATGCTTGACAATGACTACGTGTCTTCCAATTCTTCTGTCAACTGAGATGCGCTGAGCTGAGTATGCCGTTCGTCATCGCCACTTGGGAACAGATCGGAATTCGATCTAAGAATCTGCTGCTCTGAAATAGATATCGTTGTGTTCAACTTCCATGATACACCTAACCATCCTAACCCCCGCAAGATTGACAAACAGTTTTAACTGAGTGCAGATTTCACGTGCCTATGATATTGAGCACGTGATATGAGGTCACTAGTGTGCACACAATACTTTGACCCTCTCTTTTCTTGCCACTTCTGCTGATATAAAGGGTCTTGTGATGTCCTCTAAGTTGGAAAAGCGACGTAGCTTTTAGGACCAAGTTACGCGGTCTCAGTGCGCAGTCGTTTTCCGATATGAGCTACATCGCGCTGACCAGCGAAGATAGCAACTCACGCCAGCAAGTAAACTGGACCAGGTTTTAGATCCGCTCGGCTTGTACACATTCCATTCGATAAGATCCACGAGGAGCTTCTTCCTTCCCAATGGGCGCAGCCACGTACCGACGATGCGGTCATTCTCAAAGGCTGCGGCGCAGTCGGGGACACGCCGCGGCGGACGATCAACATCGGATCTCTTCGGATATCTCTGCTACCCCAGGCCGCAGGCAACTCCGCCATGGCGAAGGTTGCCCAATGCCCGCGGGGACTATAAGTAAATGATACCCTTGAGCCTGGACGTCGTCCGATCCCCCGCATCGCCCGCCGATGGACGATTCCGCCCCCGCTGGCATGCAGTCCCTCCCGTTTTGGAAACGTCCCTCGGTGTGGTGGTAAGTGCGTGCTCACGAGCGTACCAGGCTTCGCGACTGACTGTGGTTGGTTGGCAGGGTGGTGGTGTTTGCCCCGCTGGAGTTGCTCTTGCTCACGTCGGTCGTGGCCGCGAACGTGGAGTTGTTCACGAACATTGTGTGCCGGGTGCACAATTCGGGGAACGTCGGCGTGGTGGCTCCCCCAGTCGGCGGCATCCCGTACGACGCGGCCGCGTACTCCCCCTGGCTGAATGCGACTGGGACACAAGCGAACTTGGGCTATGGCGGCGCCCCCCAGCCAACGTTCAGCTCGTGTGCGACCGACCCCGTGGTGCAGGCGGCTGTGGCCAAGCTTACGACCGGTATGTGTGCGGCTGTGAACGTCGATGCCTCGACTTATACATCGTTTGCATGTAGTCTTGGCAACCACCGCGGGCGTGCTCTCTTTCTTGACGGTGGGGTGGTGGGGCTCGGTACGTGGGCTCCAATTGTTCCGATGCGCCGCATGGAACTGATGCTGCCCAGCTGTCTGATCGCCTGGGCCGGACAACCGTCATCCGAGTGTACATTCTTGGACAGTTTCTTCCACTCCTGAACACGATTCTCGTCGTCAATTTTGTCGATGTGCTTCCTGGAGGATACTGGTTTCTCCTGCTTGATAGCGTCGTGCTCGGGCTCTTCGGAGGTGAGTGGGATGGCCGAGCTTCTTTGTGTCTGTAGCTTACTGGGGCGTAGGGATAGCGACTTTCACGGCCGCCTTAAACGCATATATGTCGGACATCTCCACACCAGAGACCAGGTCTGTCCCATGCATATATCCATGTCTCTGCCCTGGCTCAGATCCCTTAGATCGAGCAACTTTTCGCTTGGGATGGGCTCTCTGTTGCTTGGGATGGGCATTGGGCCTCTAGCCGGGAGCTTCGTGGTCCGGTAGGCACGCTTGCTGGGAATCACTCCATACCTTGACCGAAACAACTCCAGCATCTCCGGAAACGTCTTGAACCTGTATTATGCAGCGTTGGCATTCCGCCTGCTTGTCTTTTGTTTCTCATTCGCCATTCCCGACTCGCTGAGCGCGGAGAAGAAACATCTGGCGGCTGTGAAACACCGAGAGGAACTCGACGTCCTCGGCGCGAATCGACCGCATAGTCGTTTGAAAGATATTCTATTCTTTTTGGAGCCGCTGTTGATCCTATGGCCCAATCCGGTCCCAGGAATTACTGCGCAGCGCCAATGGGGGCTTCTGATCCTCGCAATGGCACAAGGGATCTTCGGATTGCTTGCAGTGAGTGACTTGCATCTGGACCGTTCCCAGCTCATCACTGCCAACAAGTCTGCGATGATGCCGCAACTCCTCTATGCATTGATGACGTTTGATTGGGATGCTGAATACGTGAGTTATCCATCCAGACCGCTGCCCAGGCTCGTACTGATTCTGGACAGGTCGGGTATTGTCTCAGCAGCATCGGATTCGCCCGCGCAATCTATTTGATTGGCATTCTACCTTGTGAGCTCCAAGTGACTATTCCGCGACTTTTGCTAACTCTAAACCAGCCATCGTCAAGTTCGCCAAGAATCGACATGCGAGCAAGATCCGCGAGATGGAGAGGGAGCCTCTGTTGCATCCCGGGAAACTTGTCCCGTCCGCTGCGGCCGTGGACATGCAATTGGCCCGCGCATCTGCTCTGGTCGAAATCTTCATTTGCGCTATGCTCCCGTGGGCTCCGTCCGGCGTGATTTTCATTGCTATCTTGTCCTTCGGCTGTCTAGGGTCTGGGTTTGGGCCTGCGATACACAGCGTTGCGCTAGAGCTGTTCTCGCACAAGGTCGGCAAGGAAACAGCCGCTGTCGAGTCGGGCAAGCTGTTTGGCGCACTGGGCGTCGGGCAGGCTTTGTTGTATGCTTTCCTCCTTCGTCCTCACATTGTCTCAGGCTGATGTTTTGTAGTGGTACCCTGATCGGCCCCCCCTTGTATGGCTTTGTGTATGCGGCAACCGTGGCCACGTTCCCCGCGACCATCTTCTATCTTTCGCTCGTATTTGTTACCATTTCCTTTATCCTGCTCCACTTGATCCGTCTCCCCCGAGTGGTAACGGACCCGTCTGAGGATGAAGTATAATCGGGCGCTTATATTTGTATACCTTGCAACACTCCTTGTGAACTTTTATTCATTTTCTGTGTAGATAGATTCTGTTAGATCACGCGCGTGGACGGCCTTCGATCTTTACCTTACCTTCAATATAGATCGCGCTATCTGTTATATTGTAATCCACACTCGTCCGCTATTCCATAACGATGGATGAGTGCGCATCGTCATGTGACTGAGAGGTGTGCTTTGCTTTTTGGAATACGAACTGTTTTGTGTCACCATTTGGCCGAGGGTTGCCGCTGCCCACCGGGTGGATAGGATGTTGGGAACAGGTCCATATAGGGAAATCAATGCACGAGTCACGGGACTCTGTTACTCCCGATCATTGCCGGGCGGAGATATCACCGGGATATCGATCGATAGGGTCTATCGCTGCAATCGCCCTTGGCTCTGCACCACCACCATCCTCGAGACCGCCGTGGTTGCGTCCGGCTCTCAGAGCCAGCTCACCCTCGCGCTGCCGTTGACGAGTAGTCCAAGCCCGACTGGAAATGATGCAGAAAAGCTTGTCGTGTGGGGGGCCGCTAGTGCTCCGCGCTTGATGCCTGGGAGAGCAGTCGTTGCATCGTAAGTACGAGCGGGGCGATGTGTCTCTCAGCCAAGATCCCGGGAGGTGTTAGGGTCTCTTGACCTGCGGATACGCTACGTAGTCGGTGGGGCGCCCTTCTTTGTGTTTTTTCTCCACTAAGCTAATCAGAGCGTTTCAGATACTGTACGTTGATTATGCTACGAGCCGTGAATCGATTTGTCGGAGACCGTGTCATCCATGAGCGCGAACGCCAAGCTCGTGCGTTCCGGCCTGTGTTTTCGATCATGGGATCCCTTTCCGTCGTCACACATTACGTTCCTCTTCTATCCTCCACTCATTTTGTCACCGCCATCCGAAGCCGAAGCATCGGGAGACAGGATCCGGGTGGGGGACGGAATGATGGATGAATCGAGGGCGTTCTGGGTTCCGTCGCTGTCCGCGACGGCGAAGACGATCGATCGACACACGTGATTTGTACTTGCCTTTCTCGGAACTGTGTACAGATATCTTGGAGTCTGCGTCCGTTTTGAGACCAGAAGGAAAGGATCGATTCGTGATGCGCAAAGTACCTCATAACTAGGACCGCTCGCTTCTCTGCTCTCTCCCATCCATCCGTCTCTCACCAACGCAAGCCATGCCCGTCCAATGCGCCCCGTCGGCACATGCCCAGGCTGTGGTGCACCACCCGGGGCTCGGCGCGACGTTCTACGGGATCCAGCATCCCACTGCGCCGGCAATTGAGCAGTTTAGAGGCATCAAGTACGCAACGATACCTGCGCGATTTCGGCGCTCGCGGCTCTGGAACCGCTTTCCGCCTCAAGTCGACGCTTCGCGCTACGGGTGAGTGGTGCTGGATGTCTCACTTTGCGTGGGCGGCCGTCTCACTTGTTGGCCAGGCCCGTGTGCCCGCAGCTGGGCAAGAAGAGCACCGAGGAGGAGCTGTTCAGTCTGGGATGCACCGCCGACATGATTCCGCACCAGAGTCTCGAGCAGAACGAGTTCGAGTGTCTCAGTCTGAATATTACATGCCCCGCTGGGCTGGATGCGCAGTCGCGGATCCCGGTTATGCTCTGGGTGCATGGGTGCGTCATGGCTTGCCAGCGTGCTGGCTTTCTTCTCTCCGACTAGTACTCATCGTGCCTCGTTAGTGGTGGCGATAGGGGTTATGGCTCCAGCTGGATTTACGACGGCGCTTCCATCGTGGGCAAGAGTGTATCTCTCGGGAAACCCGTGATGGTCGTGACTTTCAAGTGAGCGTTTATCGCTGCAGTGGCGCAGAACCGCGGATGCTCATTTGCTGTTGCACACAAGTTTCCGCATCGGTCTGTTTGGTTTCGCCGCCAGCCCGGCGCTTCTGGAGGACAACCGAGTAGCGGGGGAATCCGGGGTTGGGAATTACGGCAGGTCTTCTTTCGCGGCCGGGAACACCCGAGGGCTGACATGGGAAACAGGACTGCACGATCAGCGAACGGCGATGGAATGGGTGCATCGATACATCGAAGGCTTCGGCGGCGATCCAGACAACGTCACGCTCTTCGGCGAATCATCGGGTGGCTCAGACATCCTCAGCCATCTGCTATCTAAGGCCAACGAACACGCTCCGATGTTCCACCGCGCGATCGTGCAGAGTGCGGTGGCGGACCACAACGCCCCCGACGTCCACACCGCCGGCTGGCACATCTCGCGCGTCATGTCGATCCTGGACGTCTCCTCTGTCGAGCAACTGAGAGCGGTCAGTGCTGAAAAGCTCGTGAAGACCAGCGGAGGCTCGACTCTGCGCGCGGTCGATGACGGGCACTTCTTCGTGCACGACTGGCGCTCGCACTACCAACCGGAAGAACGCCATCGGCCGCGGCGCACGTCGCGCTCGCGCTCGCGGGCTCGGCCTCACCGCCACCAGCCGCTGATCATCGGGGACACCTGCACCGCCTCGCTCATGTGGTCGCTCCCAGCTTCGCTATGGACGTCCCACGCGGTCGTGCGGCGCTTGAACGCGATCTGCCAGTCGGTCACCAAGGCCGCGGACCTGCTTTCGGCGTACGACATCGGCGTCAACACGCCCGACGACGAGATCGTCGACCGCGTGCTCGAGCTCGTCGGCGATGCCCGGGTCTCGTGGCCGATGGACTGCTTCGCCGCGCGCGCCAGGCACGGGCGCGGCGTCTGGCAGTACGTGTTCGACCAGGACGCGCCCGCGCGCATCGGGCACAAAGCCGACCTCGCGTACCTCTTCGACACGCTGCCGCAGCCCGTCTCCCCCGCCGCCCTGGACACCGCGTCCGCCACCGGTGCGGTCGACTTCTGCGACTCGTTCGATCTGGACGACGACGACGACCTGCACGACCGCAAGTTCGACTCGGACGAGGAGGACGAGGGCTGGATCGACCCGCCCGTCGACGAGTGGGCGTACACCCGCGTGCGCGACAGCATGCAGGAGCGCTGGATCCACTTCGCCAACGGCCACGAGCCATGGAAGCACGATCACGTGTTTGTGTTTGGGCCGGAAGCGGAGGTCGGCGAGCGGTCGAGGCATATCTTTGAGGGGAGGCGGAGGAAGGCGGTGTGGCGTGAGGCACTGGAGCCGCTGGGCATGTCGCTAGTGCAGAAAATCGGGATGGAACTCAGTCGGGGCCCGCCGTTAAAAGGGTCCGGCAAATACTAGGCATATTTTTATTTCTTTGGGATACACGTGGATATGGTTGTTGTATCATCATTATATCACTCGCAGCAATGTAGCACTTTCCACGTCGTCCAGACGTTAAGCTTTCACTTCGCTCTCTGGTTTTCATTATGACGGTCGCAAGAGAATGTAGAAGGATCTTCACAAGTGACACTGGGTATGGCATCCTCGCCGGAATCCAAAATGTTGGGAAGCATAAGACCGGGATGTAGACGTCCAGTATCCACGTACGTACAGAGGAGAGACTGAAAGAATGCATGTTCGGTAAATGAAGTGACATCATTTGGTGCGGAGAACGCTCAGGGATCGCAGGGCGGGCATTCACGGCAGGTGTGCGACGGATAGGTCAAGTACATATCGGCTGTGGGTCCGTCCGTCTCTCTACGTACAACAGCCTGAGAGCACAAATCCCATATTAACGACACACGTAGTCGCAATCAACACAGGAGTGTTGATATATTTGCATATGGGAAGAGTCCGGTATCACATTGAAAGTAGCGAGGGTCGCATTGTCGTAATACAGAGCGGTAACAATCGTCCTGAGCCGGCCCCTCACGCGCATCATCCAATCGTAAAGTTGCCCGAATACCCAACAAACGGCGAGATGGTCCCGCCAATCGACTTCGAGTCCCCAAAGTAGCGGATGCGATACACGCCGGCTGGGGTGGGGGGTTGCGCGTGAGCCGTAGCAAAATGCGGCACGAGCGCACACTCGACTCACAATCTGTGTTGTCCTCGATCGTCCACGAGATGTTGACCGTGCTCGTCGCGAGTATCTGCGACGACGTGCTCAGCATGCCAGCGCACAGACGAGCCCGAACAACACACCGTGCTCTCGCGCGTCCAGCGGAAGATGGTCGTGGGGTGCGAATCAGTCCGCACCGCATCCCACTCAGCAGCGTCCTTGGAGAGCTTGTCGATGCTCAGGAAGGTCTCTTCCAGACGGAGATTGTTCTGCGGAGTGGGTCGGTCAGATTAGAAAAGTCCCCTGCGAGAAGAGAAAAGTCCGACCCTTGGATTCGCACCGACGAATCGCGCAAACACGGTCTGTCCGGGCAGATACGACGCCGTTTCGTTCACATCTTGCACAACCTGTCCAAAGTGCTTGCCGAAGGGCGGGGCGTCGAACTTGACGCTATTCTGAGACAAAGGTCATCGGAGGAGCGCTAATGCAGGGTGGAGAGATCTACCTGCAACGAAATAGCCTTGCTTGTCTGCTCCGCTGGCGGCGGATCCGAGACCGGAGATGCGGTCGGAGGCTCATCAGCGAGGAACGGCACGAGACTGGTGAATTTGTCGATGTATGCTTCGAGTGTGACTGGGAAGTACAAATCAAATCAGCGCGTGTCATCAGGCTCAACGGCAAAGGCACTCACAAGGTCCGTAGAGAGTGGAGGCACCTTCGTAACGCTGGGCCGAATACTCCTCTCGAGTGGTGACATAATGGGCGTATGTGTTGGATGTGCCAGATATGACCACACGAGACACCGGAATACCATGCGATGCCAGAGCGGAGTGGACTGCTGCACGCATTCTCCGGCCAGCCATGGTCGTTAGTTCCCCGGGCATCACCACAATCACTGCAAGACAGTCAGGTCGAAAGCGGGATGTCCACAAGAGACGTCACGCACCAACATCTCCGATCCTGAACATCTGTATATTGACTATACTCGGAGACCATTCGTAGGGCTCATGAGCGAATCCCTGATGACGGATTTACATACCGCCATACTGGCCAAGAGCGTCAATGCACGTACTGTATTCAAGAGAATGGGTTTGGGATACTGGCATTCAACCTGCTCCTTCGATGGATCTGGGGTGATGAACACCTTGACAATCTCCCAGAAGGGATTCCTGGGGAGGTAAGTGAGTTCGGGAGAACTCTATCATCCACGGGAAAGACCGACTGGGAGGTTTTGTTATCACCCTGCACGAAATCGAAGGCTCCCGGTCCGTCCCTTTGAGTCGTTGCGTACGAGAATGCACAAATATAGAAGACACACGTACGTAGTCCCGCCTGCGAACGAAAAGCCCATCGCCGCCGGGCACGTCGTCACCGTCGAGCCGTTCTGGAGCGTGAACCTGTGCTTGCTCATATCCAGATACGCATGGACACTCCGCACGCCGCCCTGCACCTGAGCCATCTGGCTTCCGAATATCTGCTTTACCGCCTTCGCCTGGATCCCGCCAATGATGGCATTGCTTCCGAAGCCGTGCAGATCGCCGAGGCCATATGGATCGGCGGCGCGTCCCGCGAACGCTGGCCCCCGGCCATGGCAGTCTTCGGTGCGCCCCCCGCAGGTAGACGAGTTGGCGACGCATGGCTGTCCGTCGTAGGGCTTCCCGGGTGATTCGCAGAATGCACCGAGTGTGTTCGGGGACGTGTCGCCCACGGCAGATTGGACGAAGCCTGCGACATAGGTGTTGTTTCCTGGCATTGCTTTGGGTTCGACAGAGGATTCATAGAGGTAGGCCGCCATTCCCTTGTTGTCGCCGCTCACAAGCGTGTTGTTCTGCCCATCCTGAGAGTCCGCAGGAAGGAGCAATCGGAGGCACATACCTCGTAGATGCTCGTACCATGGACCCCAAAAAAGCTCATGAACCCCCGTCCATCCGCGGTCTGGTTCTCGTCGTCAAACCTCAGCACATCGACATTCCATTCCTGATCTCCATTGTCTCCGCCATTCTCAGTATACAACGCGCGCTCTTCTTCCGGGTTCAGCAGATACGCGGTCGGAGACCGGTTTCTCGACCCGCCTTCGACGCGACCGTTTCCTGCAGAAACTGTGCCGGAAGCGAGGGAGGAATGGGCGCGACGAGCGGCGAGCGCGCATCCCGTCACGATCGCCTCAAAGGTTTGTGGCACAAGGCCGAGTGAGGTTACCTGGGGAAGAAGGTCTGCAAGACGTGTGTTCAGCCGTTGAGGTATGAAGAATCAACTCTAACGCACTCTCGAGGTATCCTCCAACCCCACTATGCTGATGCGTCCCGGACAACGCGACGTTCTTACCCGTATATGTCCCGTTTCCAAACTCCTTAGCGAGCTTCACGAGCAGTCCCCTCCTGACACCCTCATCGCCCATCCCGATGTCCGCGTTCAGCAGCAGGACGCGATTTTCCGGGGCGGATGCTTCAGAGACGATGAACGCGCGGCACCGCTGCCGCATGTGGAGCCCCGTATCCGTCTGCCCGAGCGACGCATAGCCCATCATGTTTGTCTCGACGACGGGCCCGGTGATGTCCGCTATGCCAAGGCCGAGAAGGTACGTGGATGGATCGTCGGACGGAGAAGCTGCGGACGGGGAGAAGACGGAGCTGGATTGCGCGACGAGCAGGCGGACGAACGAGGCGGAGAGGGAGTGGCATGCTGAGAGCGGGGAGAGAAGGAACGACGACACGAATGGGAGGTACATGTTGCTGCTTTCTGTACGCCTGGGCTTCACTGGCAGTGTAAATGGGTCCTTGAAGCAGGAGTGCGAGCGTGAGTAAATGCGGCGTGAGCCTTACGAGTCCTGCGCGCTGACTCCGGGTATGGTGCCAGTCTTGACGCTTCGACGGATGTTCAGTGCTAGCAAAACGAACGAGGCCTAATTTGTAAACGGGAAGCAGAGGTCAGGACGGAGGACGTCATAAATGGATCAATACCTCGAAAGAAGGCCTGATGAGTGATGGCAATAGCTGCTGGAACCAATCACAGAACGATGCAAGGGCACCGGGTGTTCAGAATGTTCGCATGTCTGCTAGTTCTTTGAGTCCTACTATGTGTTTCGGAACCAAGAACAGAAGACCCCGGAAGATAATCATTACAGAAACATGAGACCGACTCAGATTGGTCTCATCACGGACACCGCAGTCCTGATTACTTAACTCAACATGCTCCTTCAGGAGAACATTCCTTCTCAATGGGTAAAATCTAAGAGCATCGGCTGCTATCTTGTAGGACAGAACAGAGGAAAGTCAATCAAGACAGACACATATCGAGAAAGACAGACCCATATTGTGGATTGGCTCCCATCAAGCAGGACATAAGGAAATCGAAAAGCATCAAGCAGGAGAGACGACCATCCCGCTGGACAGCCAGGTGACGGCGGATCTAATAGTTCTCTGACCTCTGGTTGCCACAGTATCGAGCACCCGAGTTCGGATGGAGGAATGATGGTTTGGCTCTGACAAACATGTCCAGACGAGTTCATGGCCAGATTGTCCGTCTTGACAAAGTGGTGAATGAGTAAACTGCCATGTGCATGGATGCCTGGTGTGAACGTGTACAAGATCATTGCTATATTACTACTACCCAACTGTACCAAGAATCAGTTACTTATTATCTGGGTGAAGCACATCCACTCACCGAACATTGGCGCCGCCGCCAACAAGGAAACGAAATGAAAGTCAAGTAGTTGCGTACTTGCTATGCAAGCGATTATCGCCTCGCGACGCGTTTGCGTTCCCGGCCATCATCCTCGACGTCCATCATGGTGTCTGCGGACACAGTGTGGTGGGAGGGATGCGCGCGTGTGCTCCGCGTGCGTCGTCGATGAGCAGGTTGGACGAGGGGCGAGCTTGATGAGGACGGCGTGGACTGGACGGACGAAGCCGGGGCCGGCATCATCATCACGGCGTGTCGTCGCTTTGAACCTGTAACTGGCAACGGGAGGTTCTCGGCGAAAGAGCTGTTGAAAGAGATCGGAATAGTAGCATCCGGCGGAGGAATGGTGAATTGGAACGCGGATGGGTTGGGCTTCACTTGCGGCGGGGTGCGGATTGACTTCATGGGATTCGTTGATCGGGAGGAAGAGGATGAGGAAGATGAGGGCGCCCCGCAGGCAGGGGGAGGAGACGGCGATGATGCCTATCGCGTGAATGAGTACGGGGTCTGCTTCACTGGAACAATACTCACTTTTCGCGGGGCGGGTGCATGGTGACCAGATGCCAGCACCTGTGCATTGGGGGCGGACTGCGTCGTACCCCTCTCTCGTTCGTCCTCCTCGTCCTCTTCTTCCTCCCTCGCCTTAACAGCCTCCAGCCTAGCTTCGACCCAGTCCATGACTCTCCCGATGGTCATCACCGACTCTTCTGGATGAGTGCCACCAAGCGCGTGAGAGTCAGACACGCCCAGCTGCAGCATCTCCATCAGGTCTCGGCATGCTGCCGCATATCCAGCGCTATAAGCACGTTTCGATGCATGCCGGGAGGAGCGGTAGAGTGTCGTGATACTGAGCGCAGCCGCTAAAGGACAAAGATAAGCTGTCTGTGACTCAGTTACCGGACTTTGAGAGGGCTCACCTTTGAAATTATCAAGTAGCTGTTTCTCTGAATTGGCGTTGAGTGAGTGTGAAGGGAGGGATGACACGAGGCTGTTGAGGTTGAGGGATTCGGAAGTCATGGTCAAGAGCAAGCAGCAAAACGCAGGAGGATTGATCGGCCAGGATCATTTCCTTTTCGAGAGCGCCCTTTCTCGCGCGTTCTAACGCGTGCTCGTAGCTTGGGCCACGCGACCACATAAGAATGAGTTCTTGTGAGTCCGTGTTCTCCGCCTAATCTGCGAATCTCAGAAAATACCCGATCGAAGAAACAGGAATTCACCCTCTTGTCATCACGAATCAATGCATCACAGACAAAGCGATCTGTGCAAGTGCTGCCTCTCCTTTCATTTGCCGAAGATGTCGACGCGATTCACGAGAATATGAATCAGATCTACTTCATGTTGCTGAGGTCCATACTGCACACTTGGGCCAGAAGCCAGCGCGCTCACACCATCACTGGCAAATGCACCTTCAACTCGAGGGTCTACAAGGCGCAGGTCTGCAAGGCGTAGGTCATCGTTATCCGCCCTCATCCCCATGATACTCTCCGACGCTGTCTCGCTCTCTCGAATAGTGTCAATATATCGAGTCGACGGAATCGGCGGCGTACTGCGTCGGCGAGACATCGACATCATCGCTACCATCTCCTCTAGATACGCGCTGCAGCACGAAGTTGCACAATATACGCGCCTGTTATGGGCCATGGTCTCCAATTCTACTCGTCGTGTCCCACACGATCTTCAACCAATCCACGCGCAGCGCTTATGCTCTGCTCGAGACACCGGAAAATTCCAGACTAGCTTCCAAAATCGCTCACTCATATGTTCACTGTAGCTCGCACTCAGGGTCCCCTGCTGCCAGGCCTCACGTCAAGCACACCAAGTGGGAACACGCGAGCAAAGCTGACCCCTTTTCCACCCCGGGATGCAGGTTGCCTTGCAGAGGTCATAATTCAGTATGAAGCTTCTGGTGACTATGAGGAAATCCATAATCTACCATTGAGGCGGGACAGCTTGGCTTTTTTCTTGGCCCTAGTCCGGACTGCCACAAATCTACATGTTCTACAACTAACTGTGATACCGCTAGAAGCGGCACTCAGCCGGGTGTTTCAAATCCAACCGTATATGACTTGCGTCCAAACGAACATCAGGAGCTGCACCACCGGGACGGTGGGTGCCGTGACATGCATAGCAGGTCTCATTTTCGACAACGATATTCGACCGCAGCGAATAACAAGCAAGTATTTCCGAGAAAATAACCTCTAATGCACAACGCGGGACAACGACATTCCGGTGTCTCGAGTCCAGGATATGTATATACGGTAAGATACTGATAAACAAGTGCTAAATGATACAGCGAGCGAGTGTTCTACAAATAAAACAAGTCCGTTATGGATTCGTATGCGAGGCCAGCTTAAGACTGGAAGTTGAAAGGGGATGACGTGGTCGGTGCGACAGAGGCTGAGCTGACGGTCGAGCTGACGGTCGCGGTGATTGGGAGAATGCTCGACGAAGGCGCGGGTGCAGACGTGAGCGAGATGATGATAAGGCTAGAAGACGGTGCGGATACTGCTGAGGCAGATGCGATGGGAGTGGCAGACAATGCAACTGAGGGTGCGACTGAGGATGCAGATGAGGATACAGCTGAAGATGCAGCTGAAGGAACAGCTGAGGATGCAGCTGAGGATGCAACTGCGGCGCTACTGATCGCACTCGGAAGCGCGACAGCGGAGGCAGACCCCGACACAGCAACCACACTCGAGCTGGCACTGGGTGCAACGGTGATTGTGCTCGTAGCAACAGCGGCAACACCAGGCACGAAATCAATCGTTGTCGGGTCGGCCGGGGCAGCACCCGAGACGGTAGCGGAACTTGCACTTGGAAGTGCGGTGGACACGATAGATGAAGCGGCGGCGGCAGCGCCATTCAGCGCCGAAGCGGTCGAGAACACAACGACAAGGGCCGTCGGCAAACCATCGGCACCGAGAACAGTCGAGGTCGTCGTGCTGGCGCCTGAGCCAACGGCAGCCGAAGTCGGGATCACAGCAGCGCTGGAGGTCACGCCTGGAATCGCGGAGGAAGCGGCAGCGGCAGAAGAGGAGATGGCAGCAACGGAAGATGAAAGTGCGGTAGCGGACGAAGAGAGCGCGGCGGCGGAGGAGATGGATGCGGCGGTCTGGCTAGCCGCGACGACCGAAGTCGAAGAACCAACACCGAAGGTTGTGGTCGCGGTCAACGGCAGTGAGCTGCCGGGCGTAGCAGAGGCGGAGACAGCCGAAGCTGAGGAAGTTGGAGCAGGAACGTTCGAGACACCCTGGATGAGACCACCGTGAGCTTGGAACTAGGATGCAAAGCCAAATCACTAACGTTCACAACCACAGCTTGTCGGCGGTTCAGAGCACGGGCGGTGACGCTTGAGCTAACGGCGGAGGCAGAGATAGAGACAGACGCAGAGACAGCAATTGACGACGCCGCAGAGGTCGCACCAGTGGCTGTTGCCGATAGCGAAGCAGACGTATCCTCCTCGTCGCAGGTGACATCCAAGCCGCTGTCGACCCCGGCAAACGCAAACCGCGCCTCGATGTTATCACGCGTGTCGCATGTCATCCCAACACCCAGGGTGGTCATCTCCGGCTGAGCGGCGCAGATGAGATCCGGCGCGCACGGCAGCGCGCTCCACGTGCCGTTGGCGCACGTCGCAAAGGAGCCGTCAATGCAAGCTGTGGTGTTGCCTGCACGCAAAGGCCAATGAGCTAGGGAAAAGCTGAGAAGAGGGAGGAACGCACCAGAGCAAGAATCCGTGAGTGCCATACTCGCAAACTGAACGTTCATGAACTGGGCCGTCAGGGCATTCTCCAGAACTTGGGTCGAGGCGGTCGTGTTCACTCCGGGAATGGAAACAGGAATAGGCGCAGCAGAGGCGGAGAGCACGAAAAAGAATATGGCGGAGAACATGTCGATTGTAAAGTGGAGATAAAGATAATGAGAGGGATGCGATCTGGTTAAACGTGCAAGGCGTGGATCTGAGCGTAAAATGTCGTCGAGCACCGGGCTCCTGGAAGAAAGTTGTATGACGGGGAGGAGGGAAGTCTATGGTCATGCCACGCACAGCTTCTGCCCTTTATACCAGGCACCAAAGGCTTTGCACCATTGGTGCCCAAGTGCCATTGTCCTCCGAGTCGGATTGATGGCAAAGAACAATAGCAATTCACATGGTCAGTCGTCTTCGACTTTATTGTCCTCCAAACAGCAGCGTATGTCTGCCAAACAGAAGAGAGCTTTCCGCTCGTGCAAGCGACGGGTGAGGAGCCATTCAGGCTTGTCAATTGGAGTCGGATGTGAAGCGGTGGACGCATCGTCTTGATTTAGCACATAAATAAGGGTCAATAAGAGATAGATTTAGAGACACCCGATTTGGAATGTGAGCAACGAATGTTACGAATGTCAGAAAAATGGAGGTGAGCGAAAGTGCAAAAAGGCAGTCGAAAGCGAATACGCTAGGAGATGCTTATTAAAATAATAAGAGGATGAGACCAACATGATTCAAGCACATGACCTGCAGATGACCGGGCAAACACTGCCAGTGGGCTGCACTTGCTTCAGTCTATCGCTCTCCCATTAAATTGAGCTATGGCACCGGTGCGGGGGGCTTGACGGCATAAAATAGGACCAGAGTGACGATCAAGTACGCTGCTACATCGACATGTAGATGAAAGTAAACGTGAAGGTCTTTGCACGCTCCTAGCTTGGGTGTCGAAGCTCATAGTAAGATGCGTCGTTCCGAAAGAACTGGAGACAACATGGGCGATTTTTTTTATCAGATAAATAGCTCATTTGACTTTTTTTAACTCGACTTGGGGAGCACAAAGTGTATATTTGAGGCAAGCTGTTTCGGTCGAATACGCGGTCACGTGTTCTGAGGCAAGGATCTATGCGGCCAGCTTGTGCCAGGACGAGCAAGCGATCGGAAGATTGATGAAAGATCCAGATATGCATTTTTGCTACGGTTTACCACCCGATCGGCCCCTCCTCATTGAAGAAGCGACCACTTTCTCCCTCTGTTGCCAGAGCCTCCTTGACGATGACCATCGAGCCATCCGCAGGATCTTTGGTCCCCCCATATCCATTGAGATTGGTTGCGTTGTAGCCTGGAAGCGTTTCAGCGTCAGTCTCGGATTTTTTCTGGAGAAACCTTACCTGGGCAGATCGAAACGACTCTGATCCCGGACTTTCGCTGCTCCTCCTCGATGGTCCACTGGAGCGTGAAACTATTAAGCGCAGACTTGCTGGCGCTATATGCCCCATAGACGGGCGGGGCCGGCCGTTCGGTGTGCCACTTGAGCGATCCCAGGGTCGACGAGACGTTCACGATGGCCGCACCGCCGGTCGTGGTGAGGAGGGGGTAGAACGCATTCTTGACGGCGACTGTGCCTGCCACGTTCGTAGCGTAGACGAGCGCGTCGGGGCCTTGAGCGATGGCGGCACTCGGATGATAGATCAGATTGAGACCGAAGAACAGGGCTGGAATCCAGGTCTCACTTATTCACGAGCGCATCCAGTCCAGCAGCGCCCTTCTCCTTCAAGATCTTCGCTGTGGACTCCGCGGCAGTCTTGATCGTTTTCTCGTCCGTCAGGTCGATGAGGGTTGGGACGACGGTAGAAGAGGGATGCACATCGGCTGCGAACTTGGCGAGTGCTTCCTCAGCCTTGGAGAGGTCGCGTGCGCCGAGGAAGACGAGAACATTGGGCGTTTTGGCGAGGTTGCGGACGGTGTGGTATCCCAGGCCTGATGCATAGTAAGCGGAAGAATCAAAACGCCAGCGTAGAACACATACCTTGGTTGGCGCCGGTGACGAAGATCGATCGGATGGACATTGGTGCAAGTAAACGGTGAGGAACACTCCAAGAGATCGTCGGCCAATACTTATAGCCTTACGCTTCAATGTAACCCAGTCATGATCAGTACAAGATTATGATGCCGGGTGACGCGTCCCCCAGCAGGTTCGGCCCAATTGAATCATTTGTAAGACTCTCGAAAGAAGCCAATTAGCCTGGACTCCTACTGTAATGGGACGGTATTTCGACCCAATAGATGTCGGACGGGTTGATGGATGGCAAGGAGGTGGATTATGTCGACGAAGTGACGCAATTAGGAAGGGCAGAAGTCAGTGAGATCCAGTACAATCATCTCTGTACAGTCATCTCGCTGCAGCACAGTCATCTCCTCGCTGACTGTACTGTACAATTGTCTCACTGCAGTACAGTCATCTCACTAACTTCCTCTGCCGGCCGAACTAATCAAGGCTCAGACTCCTGGAAATGTGTCCTCGTGAATAGAGAAGTCTCGGTGAGTGATGGTGATGCAGGTTACTAGTACTGGTACAGACTGTGTTGGATGTCCCTGCATTCCAACCATGGATGTTGAGTCTTCCAAGGGTCAATAAGAGACACCCCTGATCCTGATTTAGAAGGTAAGCAACAAATGACAGAAAAATATTGTTGGGCGAAGGCGTAAAAATTAGTAAAACAGCAAGAATACTCGGAGACATTCGACCAAAAGAACATGGCACCAACGTGATTTGAACACATGACCTGTAGATGACAAGGCGAGCACTGTGCTGCACTTGCTTCAGTCTATCGCTCTCCCAACTGAGCTATGGCGCCGGTGAGGGCGCCGGCACAGCAAGTTTTATCTTTCAATGCGATTTAACACGCTACGAATCTCGCTGACTTCCAATATCGTAACTCCAATCTTCTCTGGGACTGCGCCTTATCAAGGAACGGCGAGCCATTACAGTACATTCGGAAATTAAGAAACATTTTAGGATCGTTGCGGATTCACCCACACTAATCATTTGCTGTGTCTAGGACGATCAGCCGACAGAGTGGCAGGTGTGGCTGCGCCGACAACATCAGTGTGGAGATGAAAACAAACGTCAAGAATCAAGATCTTTGCACCAGTCCAACCTGGGGCCGTCAAAGCTCATACGAAGGTGGGCAGCTCTGAGAAGCAGACTGGAGACAACATGCGCCTTTCTTTATCAGATCCATAGCTCATTTGACATGTTTCAACTCGACTTGCGGAGAACGAAGTGTATTTGAGGCAGCTGTTTCGGTCGAATACGCGGTCACGTGTTCCGAGGCAAGGATATATGCCGCCAGCTTGTTGCCGGTACCGGCGAGCGATCGAGGGATTGTTGAATGATACAGATTTGAATTTGTACTACGGTTTACCACCCAATCGGCCCCTCTTCATTGAAGAAACGACCACTTTCTCCCTCTGTTGCCAGAGCCTCCTTGACGATGACCATCGAACCATCTGCGGGATCCTTGGTCCCCCCATATCCGTTCATATTGGTTGCGTTGTAGCCTATAAAATCCCGTTTCAATCTCTGGTATGGAGCCACCCATCTGAAGGAAGCTTACCTGGGCAAATCGACACGACTCTGATCCCGGACTTTCGCTGCTCCTCCTCGATGGTCCACTGGAGCGTGAAGCTGTTAAGCGCAGACTTGCTGGCGCTGTATGCCCCATAGACGGGCGGGGCCGGCCGCTCGGTGTGCCACTTGAGCGATCCCAGGGTCGACGAGACGTTCACGATGACCGCACCGCCGGTCGTGGTGAGGAGGGGGTAGAATGCATTCTTGACGGCGACTGTGCCTGCCACGTTCGTAGCGTAGACGAGCGCGTCGGGGCCTTGGCCGATGGCGGCACTCGGTTGATGGATCAGATTGAGACCGAAGAACAGGGCTGGAATCCAGGTCTCACTTATTCACGAGCGCGTCCAGTCCAGCAGCGCCCTTCTCCTTCAAGATCTTCGCCGTGGACTCTGCGGCAGTCTTAATCGTGTTCTCATCCGTCAGGTCGATGAGGGTTGGGACGACGGTAGAAGAGGGATGCACATCGGATGCGAACTTGGCGAGTGCTTCCTCGGCCTTGGAGAGGTCGCGTGCGCCGAGGAAGACGAGAACATTGGGCGTTTTGGCGAGGTTGTGGACAGTGTGGTATCCCAAGCCTGATCCATGGTAAGCAGCAGCGAGGCGCCAGTGCAGAACACACACCTTGGTTGGCGCCGGTAACGAAGATCGATCGGATGGGCATTGGTGAAAGTTAACGGTGAGAAGCACCACAAGTCCCTCATTACTTATAAGACTATCAGGGCTCAAGTTGATCGTTACAAAGTCCTGATCATTACAAAGTCCTGATGCCATGTGACGCGTCGCTCCGCGGGCCGGCCGCATGAAAAGCATTTGTAAGGCAAGGAGGTTATGGGCCAATCTTCCTGTGACGGGACGGCATCTCGGTCTAATGAATTTCGGATGGATGAACGATGGAGGCATACAGTACAGCAGATTTCAATTGATTCCGCGGTTTCTGATTGAGCGGACTGCTCGTTTTAGTTGATACATGCTTGGCCGTGAGTTTTGTGATTTTCAGTCTCTCTGCCGTCCTGTGTAGAGTTGAAAATGCTGGGTGCACTGAGATCAAAATTGAATACCATGCTCTGTCAACCACCATTTCATGTCCGTGCTACTGAGCTTCTCTGCATTATTGACTCAAATGATTTCTTGTCAGGATTCAAAGTGGGTTTTGACAAAGGGTAACATATCACTCGATTTCTTTTGAAAGCCTCGCGTTTGAGTTTCCGAAATCCCGGGGAACAACGATGACTAGCATCATCTGTAAACAGGATGTTGTGATTTGATTTGTGGAATTCCGGTCGCGCGGGATTTCAATTTCATGTGACCTTCCGTCAATTTCTCGTGAAACCAAATGACCATGTGTCATAAGTAAAGGGGAAGGGTTTATATTTTCAGCTGGCGAAAGGACGAGCAAGTGATTACGAAGTGGCTGAATGACTAAAAAAACTATGGCCTTTCACCCTGGGTCACCAGCCGATCGGCCCCTCCTCGTTGTAGAAACGACCACTTTCTCCCTCCGTTGCCAGAGCCTCTTTGACGATGATCATCGAGCCATCCGCGGGATCTTTGGTCCCCCCATATCCGTTGATATTGGTTGCGTTGTAGCCTGTGAGATTCCGCTTCAGCGTCCAGCCGTAAGTCTCTCTGAAGGAACCTTACCTGGGCAGATCGAAACGACTCTGATCCCGGACTTTCGCTGCTCTTCTTCGATGGTCCACTGGAGCGTGAAACTGTTAAGTGCAGACTTGCTGGCGCTGTACGCGCCATAGATGGGCAGTGGAGGGCGTTTGGTGTGCAGTGTGAGGGATCCCAGCTCCGATGAGATGTTGACGATGACCGCACCGCCGGTCGTGGTCATAAGAGGGTGCAACGCATCCTTGACGGCAACTGTACCTGCCACGTTCGTAGCATAGATGAGCGCATCGGACCCTTGTCCTAGTATGGCGGCACTGGGGATACGAATCAGATTGTATGTATTATGAGAATCGGACGGGAATTAGGCCCCACTTGTTCACAAGCGCATCCAGTCCAGCAGCGCCCTTCTCCTTCAAGATCTTCGCCGTGGACTCTGCGGCGGCTTTGATCGTCTTCTCGTCCGTCAAGTCGATGAGGGTTGGGACGACAGTAGAGGAGGGATGCACGTCGGATGCGAACTTGGCGAGTGCTTCCTCAGCCTTGGACAGGTTGCGCGAGCCAAGGAAAACGAGTACGTTGGGCGTTTTGGCAAGATTTCTGACGGTGTGATATCCTAAGCCTGATGCAAGCTGAGAAGAAGAATCAAGGCGCCACTGTAGAATGCATACCTTGGTTAGCGCCGGTGACGAAAATGGATCGGATGGACATCGGACAAAGTGAACGATGAAGAGCAACCCAAGAGCTCGTAGCCCACTACTTATAGCACGTACATTTTGAGAGTAGCTCACGACTCATAGCAGGTAGATTTCCGAGTCGGGATTCAAGTTGATCTGTACAAAGTCATGATCTGTACACAGTCCCGATGTCGGGTAATGCGTTGCTCAACAGGTTCGACCCAGTGAAAGCATTTGTAAGGCTCCTGAAAGAAGCCGGTTGACCTGGAACACTCCTGCTGTAACGGGACAGCACCTCAACCCAACGAATATCGGCCGGGTCCGTGGATGGGTAGAGGAATCAGCGGGCGAAGTGATGCAATCGGAGAGCGCGAGTCAGTGGCATGACCGCAAGTAGAGATCGAGCCGAGCTGACATCATCATCATTGGGTTAATAGGATTCAGTGCCGTGCTGGACTTCTCGGGTTCAGAATTCTTCCTAACAGCCAATTCTCGGCCAGTGATAGTGATACAGGTACATCATGGTACAGACTATGTTGAATGTCCGATGCATTCCAACCAAGGATGTTGAATCTTCTCATTTTGGTGCGCCCATTCGCCGGGGCCACAAGTCACGCTCAGGATCAGAGATCCTCGAAGCCAGCGGGCTTGGACAGCCCAGAAACATCGACACCAGGCAGAGGCCACTGCGTAGCGAAAGTGCGGACCTCGTCACGGAGCTCGCGGACCTTCGTGTACCCAACCTTGCCGTCCTCCTGCACCGTCGCGACGCGGACGAAGTCCTTCAGCATCTTGGTGCCGGCCTCCTTCTGCAGAAGGAGAGACAGCTGAACGGCACGGTGCAAGAAGTCGGCAACGACCTTGACGTCGGATTCGAGCATGTTGCGGGACGTGATGGCGGACGTTCCAAGACGGATTCCACCAGGGACTTGCGCAGAGGCGTCACCAGACACGGCGTTTTCTGATCGGATCGGATCAATATCGCAGCACAAGAACGAACGAGGATCAGGAACGCACTGTTGATCGTGATGCCCATGAGGTCGCAGACCTTCTCGACCTTGCTGCCTGTGAGACCAAGGGGTCGCAGATCCCAGAGAACAAGGTGGTTGTCGGTGCCTCCGGTCTGGAGCTTGTATCCGTGCTTCACCAGCTCCTCGCCAAGAGTCTGCGCGTTCGAGATGACCTGTTTCGCGTATTCACGGAAGGATGGCTGGGCAACTTGCAGCAGGGCGGTGGCAATCGCGGCGATGGTGTTGTTGTGCGGGCCACCCTGGCAAGCCGGGAAGACGGCATCGTTGACGCGCTTCTCGAGATCGGGGCTGGACTCCAAGTCCTTGCGGAAAAAGATCAGACCGGCGCGAGGTCCGCGGAGCGTCTTGTGTGTCGTGGTCGTGACAACGTCGCAGTATTCAAAGGGGCTACGGAGGGTTTGGGCAGCGATGAGTCCGCTGGTGTGCGCAATGTCCGCCATCAGGTATGCGCCCTCTTTCTCCGCGATCTTCTTCAAGGTAGCATAATCCCAGTCACGAGGGTAGGCAGAAGCACCGCAGATGATGAGCTTGGGACGGAAGGTCTTTGCCTGGTTCGCGAGGTTCTCGTAGTCAATAAGGTTGCTGTCCTTGGTGATGCTGTATGGAAGAGATTGGAAGTAGATGGACGACGCGGTCATCTTCTTCTTCGCCGTCTGCAAGAAAAGTTAGATGGATTGATGCTCGCACACGTGAAACTGTGGGCGCACGTAATAACCATGCGTGAGATGACCGCCGTCGGGGAGCCCGAGACCCATGAGACGATCCTGGGGCTGGATCAACGCAGTCAAGGCAGCAAAACTGTCATTGCATCAGGAACGCGATTCGCTTCGGACGCGCGAGCTGTTCTTACTTGGCAGTCTACGAAAGATCTGTCAAAAACCGGGCACGAGGATCAGAGAAGAGAACACGCACGCTTCCAGAGTAGGGCTGCACGTTAACACCCCATTTTGCAGGGTCCAAATTGAAGGCAGCGAGCGCACGTTTGCGGCAAAGAATCTCGAGCTCATCAATGTACTCGTTCCCGCCGTAGTAGCGGGCGTGCGGAAGACCCTCTGAGTACTTGTTCGTGAGGATGGATCCGTTTGCCTCCATCGCGGCCAAGCTGGTCAAGTTCTGCAGCCGATGAGAAGAATGAATGTATTCTCGAACAAGATCCACGCACCTCGGACGCGATGAGCTCCAAACCAGTGAACTGCCGCCATGCCTCCTTATCGATGATGTTCTTGACCTCAGGGTCAATCTCAGCCAACGGCGCGTAGAGGGGCTTGTTCTAAACGGGCGGGGGATGATGAGTTGCGAAGAGATAGTCAAGCTGGGAGGGAAACGAACGAAAGCAGGTGTGTTTGCGGTGGCCATTGTCCTAAGACGGAGACGTAGATGGGAAGAGGAAGAGGAAAATGCACAAGAAAGCGGTCGAGTCAGAACGCGGAGCATTTTTGGAGAAAATCGAGCCATCAATTATTTGGCCATCCTTATATCCGATCCCGTGACGGAGCTCCGCCAAAATAGCCGGAGCGCTCGCGAAACATCTGACCGCGTACAGTCGGAAACACCGTCGGAGGAAGCGGTGGGAGGGCGCCTGAACGATAAAAGAACTGCTTCCCAGTCTGCAGCAACATGCAAGGGATCAGCACCGGACCGGGATCAGAACAGAGGATGATGGATGGATAACTCAATTTGCTGCTAATTTACATATTGGTCGTTGTATTATAATGACTTCCTTCCCTTCCACCCTCACGCGACGGGGTCTAGGTAGGACTTGTACGCGGCCAGCCAAGCCTCCTTTCCACCAGTCTCGATAACATCACCGTGACAGGGGATGATGCGTGTAAAGTCCCAGGCGGCAACTGTCTTGACATCGCGGGTCATTACTCTGCGAATGGGTCGTCGTCGGGTGGCGAAAGGGCGGCCAACAGATATCCCACTCACGCTTTGTCTTTACCCAGCGCCGCCGAAATCTTGCCGTGCAGCCAAGACGCAGGGTTCAAAGCGCCGATCACAGGAACAGCACCAGACGACTTGGTTTTGGAATACTGGGAGAGAGTGAGTGGGAAGGGCCGTCAGCGGGTTGGGCGCGTGCCTGTTCTGTGCACGGCAGATTGAACAGCAGGTCCGCCTCCAACTGTTGTTATTCGCGTCACTTCAGTGGAGGCGAGCAATCGCAGCAGGACACACCAAAGTCTTCGAAGCCGAATGGAAGAATGCGACATCCTTGTTTACCATCCCGGAGAAGTAGCTGACGAAGCGGTCAGCAACCGGCGATATTTCACGCATAGGTGGCCCACCAGGCCTGGATCTGCGTCGCGTGAGGAAGGATACTCTGAAGGCGGGGAGGCACCACTCACGTCGTGCTCGAAACCGTACTTGGTGTCAGATGCATCGCGGCCCCAGACTCCGTCGAAATGAAGCGACTTGTCCGCTCGTTCAACTGCTGCCGCAGGCCCGAGCACCTTAGCGGAGGGGTAAGCCTTCTTGAATTCACCTGGGGGCCTGGAATGTGAGCCGCACTTCTAATACCCCCGCGACCTGGAACTGACCGAGATACAGATGGTGAACAGAATTAGCGCTGATGATATACCTGGAAGCGTTTGGCTGCGATTGCGGGGGAAACTGAACAGACGCACTGTACAGGACCCAACTCGTCTATCTTCGCCTTGGTCTCAGGGTTTAAAGGCGTGGAGGCAAGCACCCAGACGCCACCATCGCTGAGTTTGATAGCGGTTGACCTTCCACCGATTGGCATGATCCCAAAACGAGCAAAAGGACTGAGAGACGGTCAGGAATAGAGCGAGACGGAGAGAGTGAATTCATTTCAGTCACCGAGAGAACGTCCACACGTTATTGGTCACCTAAGGGAGATTTAGCGAGCTCGCCAAGTTGTGCAGGAATATACTAGCCTCTCGTATGACAGTGAGTTTGTCTCCCATGTTGGAAGAGTAGAGCTGAGTGCGATATTGGCGAGAACTCTGGAGTCTGCGCGAATGGGTGCGATCAGCCTGACATCATGCAACCATCATCATCATGCGAATCGCGATCACCTGAATTTGACTTGCACGCCGCGGCTTAGCAGAGCCGGCTATCTCCGTTGCAGGCGTGAGTGAACCTCTCTGCCTTTCCCTCTCGCGCCATGGAGAAACTCGCGTCCAGTTCGTCTGGAAACAACAGAATTTGCGCAAACAGGCGCTTCAAAATGGCGCACCTCACTCTTTTGGTGTTCGCCGCCGTCTCGACCTTCACTTACCATGCCCTGACGACGTCCGTCTCATCCTCTGCCACGGTGCACACAATTCCAGCCAACGCTGCGACGATCCTCGGCCGGTGCAGCTCTCTCACCCTCGCGCCAGGCCCTCCCGACGACTTCCACGAGCGCACGCAGTCGGACCGATACGAGGCGGGGACGAAGCCGACCCTTATCAAGAACGCGAAGATCTGGACCGGGGAGGATGACGGGACGAAGGTCGTGCATGGCGACATCCTGCTGGACAAAGGCATCATCAAAAAGATCGGCAAAGTGGATGCCAAGGCGTATGGATCGGACTTGGACGTCGTCGATGCTCAGGGCGCCTGGGTCACCCCGGGGTGAGTGTCCGGCGTTCTCAATACCTCTTTGAACGTGACGATCAACTGCTCCAGCATTGTCGATTTGCACTCGCATCTCGGCGTCGACAGCGCACCGGCGCTGAGCGGCGCGTCGGACACAAACTCCCACAAGGGCCTGGCCATGCCCTGGCTGCGCTCACTGGACGGCCTAAACACGCACGACGACGCGTATCTGCTCTCCATGTCCGGCGGCGTCACCACCGCGAATGTGCTCCCCGGCAGCGCCAACGCGATCGGCGGCCAGGCATTCACCATCAAGCTCCGGCCAACCGCGGAGCGCTCGTCGTCTGCGATGCTGCTCGAGCCGCCGTTCACTCTGAACGGCTCGTACGTGGATCCGAGCCAGCGTCCGAGGTGGCGTCAGATGAAGTGAGAAACGGGTAGACTTGGGGATGTTGTCACTGACGTTTCAATCCACAGACACGCTTGCGGGGAAAACCCCAGCCGCGTCTACTCTGGCACTCGGATGGATACCCAATGGGCCTTTCGCCAGGCTTACAACACCGCCCGTCTCGTCAAGGAGAAGCAAGACGCGTTCTGCGCCAAGGCCGAAGCTGGCCAGTGGACGGGACTCGGCGAGTTCCCTGAGGATCTGCAGTGGGAGGCGCTGGTCGATGTGCTGCGGGGTCGCGTCAAGATACAGAACCATTGCTACGAGGCCGTCGACTTTGATGGCATGATTCGGGTGCGTCTCTCCGGGCTTTGTCCCTTTGCGCCACTTACGAACACTCTCAAAGCTCACAAACGAATTCAAATTCCCCATCTCCACTTTCCATCACGCACGTCAGTGGCTTCCGCTACGATCTCTTTCGCCTCACTCACTTCTTGTTTTTCTAGATGAAGCATACCTCGTTCCGGAGCTGCTCAAAAAGGCGTATGGCAAACCCCCGGCAATTGCGATGTTCGCCACTCACGCGCGTTTCAAACGCGAAGCCTACCGAGGCTCGGAATTCGCACCCGCCATCCTTGCGGACAATGACATCGACGTGGTCATGAAGAGCGACCATCCCGTGCTCAACTCTCGCCACCTCATCTACGAGGCCCAACAGGCGCACTATTTCGGGTTGCCGGAGAACTTGGCGCTGGCTTCGGTGACGAGTATGCGGAGTCCGCTCCTTCTCGTCATGTGCTTTCTCACACATCGGCAGCGACCCCGGCCAAGGCCATGGGACAAGACCATCGGGTGGGGCATCTCATTGAAGGATATGATGCCGGTGAGTACATGCTGCTACTGCCAGTTGTTTCCGCCCATGACACGGGCATCGCAGATGTTCTCGTGTGGGACAGCCACCCGCTTGCACTCGGTGCTGCCCCGATCCAGGTCTGGGTCGACGGAATCAAGCAGCTCGAGAAGCCGCACGTGTCCCCGAAGCCTGCTGCCTCGCAAAGGGCACCGGAAACACCGGATTTCACCGCTGAGATCATCGACGCCGTCAAGTACGAGGGACTGCCGCCCTTGGAGGCGACGGAGGCCAGCTCCGACGTGGTCGTGTTCTTCAATGTCGGATCAGTGTTGCTCAAAGAGGGCGATCGGGTGGCTGAGAGGTTCTCGGCCGCTGAGTACGTCGTCACTGTGGAGAAGGGCCGGATCATCTGCATGGGAGAGTGTCTGTCGGACCTGTCCCGCTCGGACGCGACTTACATCGACCTCGAGGGCGGGTCTGTTTCTCCGAGTTTTGTTTCCTGCGGCACTAGTCTGGGATTGACGCACATCAGCGGAGAAGGTGAGTGGCACTCACTCACACAAGTCTTAGGGCAATTCCCGATTTGTTTGCTGCAGCTTCAACCAATGACGGCCGGGTTTTTGATCCTCTGCGGGCGCAGGTGCCCGCCATCATCGAGGACGATGTGATCAAGGCAGTGGACGGCCTGGTCTTTGCCAGCCGCGACGCACTGCTGGCTTACCGCTACGGTGTCACGTCCTCTGTCACCGTGCCGATGTTCAGCGGATTTCTGGGAGGACTGAGCACCGTGATCAACCCGGGTGCGGCTCACAAGCTCGTTAGCGGGGCCGTGATCCAGGACGTCGCTGCGCTGCACATCGCGCTTTCCATGTCGTCCCCCAGCAGCGTCAGCACCCAGATCGCCACTCTGCGCGGCCTGCTGCTCGGCCGGGGCAAGGGAGACACGGGTAAGCGGTTTGCGCAGGTCGTCGCTGGCGAGATGCCGCTGGTGGTTAACGTGGAGAGCGCCGACATCATCGCCAGCCTCCTGGTGTTGAAGAAGGAGGTGGAGAGTGTGTCCGGCACGCGTATCCGGCTTGTGCTCTCGGGCGCGACCGAAGCCCATCTGCTTGCCAAAGAGATTGGAGAAGCTGGTGTCGGCGTGCTCACTCAGCAGCGTCCGTACCCCCATCGATGGGAGGAGCGCCGGATCCTCTCCGGCCCGCCGCTTTCCCCGACCAGCGCTATTGCCGAACTGGTCAAGCACAACGTGACGGTGGGTCTGCAAATGAGGGACACATCGCAGGTTCGGAATACCGCGTTCGAGATGCGATGGGTGCGTTTCTATCCGTTTTCTTCCGTTTTCTTCTCGATCTCCTCTGACCATCGGCGCAGGCACAACTCGAATCCAATGGGATAATCGGGCATACCACGGCATACGAGCTGGTGACGACCAACGTCGAGAAGCTGTTGGGTGTCAAGGACGGAAATATGGATATGATTGCGACCAGGGGAGGATCGGGGTTCTCTGGGAAGATAGTGGCCATCATCTCTGCTCGGGACCAGGTTGTTCGCTTGGTTTGAGCACTTTGTTATCAGGGTAGTTTCGGATCGGCATACAAGTCATATTCCATCGGATTTTTGAGGCAGTGAGATAAGGTTTCATTCGAGGGCAGTCTCACAGTAGGCCATGACGACCCCGCGTTCTCTATGTAAAATTGAGAATGGATTGGGATATTTGCAAATGGTATAGGCAACGTCCGAGAGACAACAGAATGCTAATGCGATGGAACAAGGGGTAATGATGACGGCCACGGGCTGTATATACACGAAGCACACAGATGCTGCGCACGGGGCCGGCCCCGTCGGGAAGCAAAGCAAAGCAGAGAGACCGGCCCAGCGACGAGAAGAAAGCAATCACGCAAACGCAATCAATTACTTGTTGAACACGTAGAACCCGTTCATGATCCACTTGGCGTCGTCGCCGAACACATGGCCCTGGCTGAGCACGTAGTCCTTCGCGGTCTTGAACCCGGTCTGCTTCGCGCACGACGTCGCCTGCCCGCCCGCGCCGTCGACGGACCAGACGCCCTCCGTGAATGACCCGCCGAGGTTCGTGTCGACGACCATCATGATGTCCTTGAAGTGCTGCTCGGGCGAGCACTGGTCGACGGGGATCGCCATGCGCGGCGCGCCCCACTTCGACGGCGTCGGCGCACGGGCGGTGATGTCTGGCAGCGGGCGTGAGCATGCGACGCGGAATCAGTAGGAGCGGGGGGCGGTGCATACCGCTGGGGACGCTGCCGGCCTGGAAGAACCAGTTCTTGATCCCGTCGGTGCTGAACTCGAGCGCGAAAACACCTCCGCCGGCCTTGTTGAAGCCCGGGCCGAAGCTGGTGGCGGATTTGTCGGTGAAACCGCAGGCACCGGGGTCGGAGTTGGCATCTGCAGACCGTCAGAAAAGCGCTTCCACCGAAAACGGCGCGCCAACATACCGCAGTTGGTGCCGGTGGCCTCGACGATGGTGACGTCGGCCAGGGCGGAGACGGCGGAGGACGCGATGGAGCATCCGGATCCGGTGTGGATCGAGTAGATGTTCTTGTTGTACAGCGAGACACCCTCGACGACGTCGATCTCGCCGTCCGTCGGCCAGTTGGCGCCGGTGAACCACACGGCCGGCCACGTGCCGCAGACGGCAGGCATCTGGGCGATATCGAAGATGAAGAGGTTCTGGCCGGCGGCGTTGAAGGTCTTGTCGGAGACCATGCGGATGGAGTTGCGCGCCGCGACGCTGTCGGCGGTGTCTACGGCCAGGACGACCTGGTTGCCCTGGGTGTACGCGAGGCCCTTCTGCACCCCGTTCACGTAGTTGGCGTTTCCGCCGTTGTCACCGGTGCCGGAATCGCTGGGGAGAGTCGAGTCAAATCAGCAGTCACGGAAACAGAGCAGAGCTTATTACAAGTGGAAGAAATCCAGGAAGGCCTGGCCCTCGAGCTTGTCAGTCAGCTTCCAGCCTTCAGAGGATGAAGTCGACGCTGCGAGCTTATGTCAGGGGAGCAGTCTGACACAGAGATGGACCACAGACCAGGCTGGGCGGTCGAAGTCGTCGGGGCCGGCTTCGTTGTGGTCGTTGCCGGCTTCTTGCTGGTGGTCAGGGATGCCTTGGAGGTCGTAGTCGGAGCCGCGGCCTTGGTGGAGGTAGTGCTCGACGTAGTGCTCGAAGCAGTGCTGGAGGCGGTGGTGCTGGTAGTCGTCGCGGACGGGGCTGCCTCGGAAGTGGAGGTAGAGGCCGCTGCGGCTTTGGCAGGCGACACAGCGGCAACCGCAGGCTTGGGCGCGGACCCGAACGACCATACGACATTAACTAAGCGGCCATCAGCATCCGAGATCCGCGGCACATGTCAAGGAACCCACGTTCGCCGGCGTCGAGCGAGCCGCCGTTCAGCGCCTTGAAAGCGGCGGGGGAGATGTACGTGTTTCCCTCCGCGCCGCATTGCGCACAGGCGTCGACGACGGTCAGGTCGACGCTCTTCGACGGATCAGAGGCCAGGGACATCGTGATCTGCGGGTTGCGTAAGTTCCTGGGCGCCGACGACGTGGGTCTGACACGGTGCACGTACGTGCTGGAAGCAGACATCCGAGACGGTCCCGAGGTCGCCGTAGATCGTCGACCCGAGGCCGACGATCATGTCCTCGTCGGAGGAGTGCGTCCCGCAGGCGTTCTGGGTGCCGTTCTGGAACCCGAAGTACGCGGTGCCCGAGTTGGTCGTGCGCTTCCACTCGGGGGCCTGGTGCTCCAGGTGGCGCGCGTGGCTGTGCGGGACCCGCTTGAACGAGTGGCTCGAGGCGGAGGCGGAGGCGGCGAGGGCGGCGAGGCCCAGGAAAGTCGCGGAGCGCGGCATGCTTGTAGTCTTTAGCGGACCAGAGAGCGTGGGGGACTAAAGAATGGGAGTGTCCTTGAACGAGGGGGGACAGTCAAGGACGTGGACACAGAGAGAGAGGGAGAGGGAAAAGAAAACTGGGATTGTCCTGGAAACAAACAAGTTTTAATATAGTCACGTTTCCGCCGAGGCCGACAGAAAATCGAGATCTGCGACAAAATTAGCGGTGACTCTCCACACACTTGGCGTCTTTTTTTCGAGGATGCCTACACTTACGAAATTCCTCGTGCTCAGGTACATTCGAATACGTGTTTGTTGTTCGTTTGGGCCTCCGTACCCTATGAAAATCCCCCAACACAGAGAGAGAAAGTTGAAATTCGCTCACCGACTGGACAAACTTTCAAACGGGCGGTGATTGCCAAATGATGCGCTGATGCTCCACACAGCCTAATGTACAGTTTCCAGACTCTCAATCGACTGCTGCGTCGTCAGGTAGCATGCTGCAACTGCTGCCGGATCCAGCATAACTGGCAGAGCTGGCATTCAAGAATGGTTTGAGTTGAAGAACAGGACGGCCAACAGCATCCGTCAGGATGTTGACGTCATGATCGGTATTTCATGGCGCCGCGACGGATCAGATGGGGATCGTCGTCGCCGTCGCAACGCGACGCTGCGGGTCCGAGGGGTCGGTACCACGTGACGGCCCAGGACGGTACACGATTCCCGACCCTTGCCTGGCGGGTGGTACAATCTTGAATGGTCTTGAGCCGGGTCTTGGATCGGAGAGCCAAGCTAGGCCAAGTTTTCCCACTACCTATGTTGCATTCCGAGTGCTTCTCATCTTGCATGAACTGTTTCTCCCCCCTATGAACCACGTGTAGATGGATGATCTGCATACATCCACGACCCCGTGCTTGCCTTTGGACTTGCCTGACAGTCGAGGTTAGCCGTCCTAACGCGTCCACCACGAATCGAACAACCCCCGCCTATCCGTTGAACTGTGTATCGGCATCGCCAGCCCTCGACGAATACACGTGCCCATCGCCAGGATCAGCTCGCAGGCGCAACGTGCCTCCCACGACCGTATTTTCATAGCGGAGCGTGATCACTGATCATCGCGGAGACCAATCAGCAACATCCCGACGCGTGTTCCCGTTCCAGCTTGAAATAGCCGAACAGTCGATTGTTCTTCTGTGAGAGCGGGGGCGGAAACAACGTTCTCTCGACATAAAACGGGGACAGATCCCAGTTCGCACATCGCATACACTCGCCTCTCGCCACCACCATGCCTGCCGCTTCTCGCATCCACGCGTTACTGTTGGCCCCACTTGTTGTCTCTGCAGCTCGGTACTGCTCCCTCAAGCCCCCCAACGCTGTGTTATCGAGCTCCGGGCCCTCGAGTGGCGGCGCTTCTGGATCGGCGGGGACGCAGCCGGGACTGAATTCGTCCTCGCATGGGGGGACGGACCCAACTGACGTCGTCGCCACGGCGTGGTATCCGGGCTGGAACAACTTCCCGCCATCCGAGATATCGTGGAGCAAGTACAACGCGATGACATTCGCTTTTGCGTGAGTCCCACCCGTGTCGGTGAGATCGCCCCCGCTGAGAGAGGAGGTAGAACGACTACGCCGGACTCGTCGACCATCGCGTTGGACGACCAGAGCGCTGCGCTGCTCCCCACTTTCGTTGCGACTGCCCAGGCCAATGTGAGTGCGTCGCGTCGCAAACGAGCGATCCGATCAAGCCACGTTCTCACGACCGGGCCAGGGCGTCTCGGCTCTGCTCTCCATCGGCGGCTGGACCGGATCAATGTACTACTCCTCCGCTGTGGCATCGGCCGCAAACCGAACCAGCTTCGCCGCCGCCGTACTGGGCCTGGTGTCGACGTACCAGCTGGACGGGATCGACTTCGAGTGCGTTCCCTTGCTATCTGCCCCTGGTGTTCTTCCGTCCGAACGACTTGGCTTGGCAGCTGGGAATACCCCGGGACGCAGGGTCTCGGATGCAACGTGATCAGCCCCAGCGACTCGGCCAACTTTCTGGTGTTCTTGCAGGAACTGCGAAGCACTCCCGCGGGGCAGAATCTGATTCTGACCGCCGCGGTGGGACTGAAACCCTTCGCCGGCCCGGACGGGAACCCCATGGACGACGTTTCCGGGTTCGCGAAAGTGCTCGACCGCATCGGTGGGTGGAATAATAGATCGAGTCCGTTTCCCTCTGGGGCACCCACGCAAGTTGGCAGCGATTATGGACTACGATGTGTTTGGGCCGGGCTACTCGCAGACGGTCGGCCCCAACGCCCCGCTGAACGACACCTGCGCGCCGCCGGCTCAGCAGCAGGGCTCCGCCGTGTCTGCGGTGCAGGCGTGGACTGCGGCGAATTTCCCCGCCAACCAGGCAAGCCGCGCGTCTGGTGATAACATATTACGATTCACCCGAATTTGAACCTTGATTTGCAGATCACTCTGGGTCTGGCTTCCTACGGCCACAGCTGGCCCGTGACACCCAGTGAAGCACTGGACGGGGCCCATCGGCTCCAGCCGTATGCGAGCTACTCCAAGTCAGCCCCGGTCCCCGCCGGAAGCGAGGATGCGGGAGGGAGCGCTGCTGCGACCGTGGACCAATGCGGGAACCCGCAGAGCGGCGGGAGCGGGAACAGCGGCGATTCGTCGTTCGCTGCGCTGATAGACACGGGATTCCTGGACTCGAACGGGACTGCGGCATCGGCATCGGGGATCAGCTTTGTCTTCGATCAGTGCAGTCAGACGGTGCGCAGCGCCCTGCGGTGTGGAGTGCACGTGGCTGACCGATTTGCGGGCTACATAGCCGTTTGTCTACAACTCGACGTCGCAGGTCATGGTGTCATACGACGATCCGCAGTCCTTTGGTCGGTAGTTGCCGTGTCTATTTTGCTGTGTGGCTGTCTGACGCGCAGCTATTTATAGCCGCGAAAGGCCAGTTTATTAATAGCATGGGGCTGGCGGGGTTTGCGGTGTGGGATGTGACGGGGGACAAGAACGATCTGCTGCTGGACTCGCTGCACCAGTCCATGGGGATCGAGTCTGTTTGCGATTAGAGTATACTTATCGACCGAGTCCTATGTGCTATTATTATCTTGCTCGTGCAGGATGTCTATGCTGATCAAATGCGTTCTGTCAAAACATACTAATCAGGGCTTATCCGGTTCGTCGATTCGAGTGATTCTTCGACCTCGAATCGAAATCCGATGATAGGTTGGCAGTGCGATTGTGGCCGTGGGAGATGCCCTCGACTAGATAGGACATTGGGTGTCCGCTGATGCGATCCCGGATCGAGCCGGCGGCCACTTGCGAAGAACTTCCGAAACTCAGCCTTCACGGCCCCTGGTGCTGAATTTCGAAGTGCGAGGTACTCCCGCATCGCAGCATTAAATAGGATCATTCGGTGTCCGGAAGATAAGAATCCATCGCGTCGCTAACAGCTGCACCATGCACGAGCGCCGTTGCTGCTACAGAAGCCCGCGTCCCATCAGTGCATCGTATGGAAGAGGTGCGCACGGTTTCCGCAGACGGGGCTTCCACACATGTCCCGTGTGATGGACAATAGCCTTCAAGGGGCCTTCTAAGCGGGAGTATATAACGCCCGGGGAGAGGCTATCCTGCGCCTGGCCGACACCCACCCAATCTTGAATCCACCACCACACCCCCGCTCCTCGATGCAGCTCTCTGCGTTTCTGCCGTGTCTGGGCTGGATGCTCCTTGGGGCGCACGCAGCCAAATCCAACCACGCGACGCCGAAGTGGGAGACGTTCACCTCTGCGCGGCCGTCCTCAGGCCTGCGCTTCGTGACGGACTCGGCCGTGTGCGAGACGACGCCGGGCGTGGGGCAGCAGTCGGGGTACATCGATGTCGCGGGAGACGCGTCCATCGTAATACGCGTGTTCGCTTATCCTGCGCGGTTTGATCTGACGTCGTGTACTTGCTTAGTGGTACTGGTTCTACGAGGCACGGCATTCGGCTGATACAGCTCCGCTGACGCTGTGGTGAGCGATACCGTTCCTGTTGATACATCTCCAGTTTCAACTGAGTTTTCGATCAGGTTGAATGGAGGACCAGGTCGGTGTGCTTGACACTGCGTCCCGGCCCAGACTCACCGTCTGACAGGCTGCTCGGCTATGATTGGCATGTTTCAAGGTTCGGACGCGCCGAAGCTCGATTCCGGCGACTAGAAAACCCTTTTCAGAGAATGGGCCGTGCACTGTCAACGCAGACAGCGCTTCGACGACCCTGAACCCATACAGGTCGGTGCATCCCCCCTACCGCATCCCCCCTACCGCATCCTCACCGGCTGCAGCTGGAACAATGCGAGCAACCGTGATTGTTTCCCGCCGGCCGTGGTGTATGGATCGCTGATGGGGTTGCTTTGCCAGTGCTGTACATGGACCTGCCAGTCGGCGCAGGGTTCTCCACCGGATCGGCAGCCGTGGGTACGGTCGACGAGGTGACGCAGATGCTATGGGACGCGCTGCAGATCTTGTTCGAGAGCCCCGCATTCGCGATGTTCGCCAACAGAAAGTGAGGCGCTACCTACCTTCTACTCCGTTTTGAGCGCTGAGGTTGAAGCGGCTGAATCGTGCGCAGGATGATCTTTGCCACGGAGAGTTTCGGCACGTCAGGCCGATACGCGCCGGGGTTGCGATGCTGACATGCCGTGTGCAGGTGCCCATTTCGGACCGAGTGCGATTGCGTATTTCCAGTCCCAAAGCGCGTTGGTAACGCAAGGAAAGCTGAGCGGCCAAAAGCTTGAATTCAACGCACTGATGATCAACGAGTGAGTGGATTCGGCGCTTCGAACATGCATCATTTCTGATCTGAGAATGCTGCAGCGGAAAGCACGATCCCCTGACTGGCTACGGGTCCTATATCTCGTTCGCCTCGGATGCACCGGGATACGGTCCTCTCCAGCCCACACACGTCATCAGCAACATGACACAAAGCTACATGGAGACCGGCGGATGCGCGGATCAGCTCAAGCAGTGCTACAGCGCCGGGAACGGGACTGCCGCCGACAAGCTCTGCGCGACTGCCGATAATTACTGCGTCGGCCGTCATTTTCTGCCATCTCCACGGACGCTGATGTTATGATGTTCGATTTCCACAGACCAGCAAACTCTTCGACCCCGCGGTGCAAGGCTACAATCCCGACTACCTGCTGGAGAGCAGCTCGTCGAAAGTCACGTTCCCGCCGTCGTATTATCTGAACTACGTGACTTCGGCGAAAGTCATGAACGCTATCGGGGCGAATACTACGTTTGATGGGTGCAATGCGGCTATCAAGACGGCGTTCTCAGTCCAGGGAGAGGTGCGTGAACACAGAAAAAACGACTGCGGCCGTGTTAAGATGGGAATATAGCTAGGGCGGACGGCGCTTCCCGACCTCGCCGCTCTGGCGAACGCCCATTTTCCTATCCTGATTTGGGTTGGAGACGCGGATATCAAGTGCGTGGTTCTCACTCCCGCAGCTAAGATTTGTCGTCCCAACATGATCTAGAGCGAACTGGCTCGGCGTGCACCATGCGATGGTGTCGATGAGCTGGTACGGCAACCTGACATTGAACAACACGGCCCTGACGAACCTCACGCTCGGCGGGTCCGCCGTCGCCGCCGTCAAGACGATCGACTCGTTCACCTTCGCGTGCGTGCAAATTTGTTTTGCGTGCGACTTTAAAAAAAAACCCCACGGCTGAATTTTCGACAGGCGGGTGTACGGGGCGGGGCACAATCTGGCGGCCTACGTGCCCTCGACCGCTCTTTACTTCTTCAACCAGGTCGTGACCCTCGTCGGCCCGTCCGCCTCGAACAACGGCACGACGACGGGCTCGGCGTCGGCCGCTGGCTCGTCGTCGACGTCGGGATCGACTTCGAGCGGCGGGAGCCCTCCCCGGGGAGTCGATCGGATTTTAGCGGCCGGGGCGATTCTTCTGGTGGCGTATTTGTACTGCTGAGGGCGGGGTGTTGGGACTGGAACTTCATAGACTATAGAGTTGTATCCGATTGAATTTGATTGTAGCCCCGCCTGGTTTCTGGTTTGAAAAACAAATCATTGAGGAAAGTGTGAATCGTGGCTGGCTTGGTCCCGAAAAACCGTATCATGGCATGGCTTGGCATCAGACCCTCCCTTTACAACAGGGTCAGTATCAGTGAATGTCATTTATCACACGCGGCCATGAGTAAGTGTTGCATCCTTGAACTTAGTCATGTGACGCCGTGTAACCCCGTGCGTCACTCTCCTGTCACACACGGCAATCTGCCTCGGTAATTTGTTCGAAGATATCTCATGTTGTGCTTGACGGCACTGCTGCCAGACCCGCCGGAATGAGCTCGATATCAACCAAGTCAGAGAAACAACCCTCGGTCTCGAGGTCACCCAAACCGCCCGCAGCGGCGGCCCCGTTGCTTAACCCCCTCAGCCTCGCCTGGGTGCGCCCCGCGCTCGCCAAACCGCGCACATGGAAGACGCTCACGCGGTGCGTCGTCGCGGTCGCCGCGACACTCGTGCTGCTCGTGGACCGCACGACGATGAACGAGATGGGGCAGGTCGCGTTCTTCGGGAGCATCCTCGCGTCGATCCTGACGCCCTCGATGGCGTTCAGCCTGTTCGCGCTCGCGGGCACGCTGCTGCTGCTCGGCATGCTGCTCGGCTGGGCCTGGAGCGCGGCGGCGATGGCCGCGGCGGTGGCGGTGCGGGATCCGGTGCGGGATGCGCAGCGGGCGGCGGTGGCGGCCAAAGCGTTCTCGCCGGACCTCCCTGCCTCGACACAGGTGCGGGCTGCTTTCCGTTGTTGTCTTTCGACTGGCGGCTGGGTCTGACGTGCGTTCGCAGCTCTCGGTGCTCGTCTTCCACGGCTACTTCCTCGATGCGCGCTCGTCCGCGGTCTACGGCGCCATGTTCTTCATCGGCTGTTTCGCCATGGGCGTCCTGCGCGCACGTGCACCCAAGCTCACGCTGTTTTCCATCTACTCGACGATTGTCATGGACATCATGTTCACTTTCGGTCCCCGTGAGTTTCCCCCCTGTAGCCGAACTCGCCCGCTCGCTTATCAAATGAAGTCTTCCCCAGCAAACGATACATGCTCGCCAAGCTGTTTATTCTCCCATCTGCGTACTATGTCGCCATCGCCGGGGTCTCGCTCCTCTTGATCTTCCCGCAGAGCCTGAATCATGTTGTTTTGTGCGTCCTGTCTACCCTCTCGCTCGGAGACGCACTGATCGCGGGTCAGAACGACGCTCGATGGCGCATTCTTCGGGTCGGCGCTGACCATTCTCGGCCTTCAGGGCTCCGTCCTGTCCACCGATCCGACGGACCAAGAGACGTGGTCTGGAATTGCGGCCAAGGTGCGCTTGGATCGACGCCCACTCTCCTTTGCTTACGCCAACGACCACGACAGGCAGCGACTGCCCGTGCTGGACTCGCAGGAGGTCTGGCCGGGGTCGGCGCTCAGATCGGGATGATCGACATGGAGATCAGCATCGGCCGATTGGGACCCACAGATCTCAAGAGGATGGTTTCCGAGCTGCGCGCGCTGGGATTCCGTGTCAGCGGCCTGCTGTCTTTCCAGACCGTGATCTCCGCCGTCCACGCCGACGAGATCCGGTACAACACGACCCCGGACGCGTCGGCGGCTGAGCTCGGGCGGCCCGCGTGGACTCACAGAGACGGCCGCTTCGCGAAACGCAAGCGGCTGATCGATGCGCGCGAGAAGAGGCACGGGCACACGCTCCAGAAACTAGTCCCGATTCTCGAAGAGGCCAGCGCGCCACTGCGCGCGGCTTGCGTGGAGAGCGTCAGTGTGATGCGGGGTTGGCTGGAGGGAGCGAACGTGTACCGCTGGCGCTCGTTCTTTCTTCCTGGTAGCGCGGAGAAGCAGGAGGCGGAAATCGCGCGGAGGAAAGCGGTTTTGGAGTCCACGATCGCTAAACTGCAGACTGCGCTGCACGAGTTCCGGACGGTCGGGCGGGTCAAGCTGATCAAACCATTCGAGCGCTTCTTCGACGCGTCTGGGAAACTCAAGGATGGACTCGATCCCTTGCGCAATATGGCCGGCAAGTCTGAGCACGAGATGTTTGCTCTCAGGTGCGTCGAGACAGCGCCGAGTGTACATTACATTATTCATCCTCTCGACAGATCGTTGTACATCTGCTTCGTGTTCATCGACACTCTGGATGCCTTCGCAGCTCGGATGCTCCGCCTGCTAAAAAAGACTGCGGAGCTCGACGCGAAGCGGCCGACGCCGAGAATCTGGTTCCCCACTGGTTTCGGCAAACTGTGGAGGAAGCTCACCAGCAGAGGCCCGAGTCCGGTCGACGATGCGCCTCTGTCGGAGGGAACTGCAGTCGATATGACCAGCTTTGATGAGCGTGAGATCCAAGCTGAGGTCGAGGAGAGCGAGTTGGACTCGGAGCATGTTGAGGAGGAGCACGAAGGGCCGCAAGGTGACGTTGTGTCCCATCGTAAAGTTCCGGATCTCTGAGCCCGACTTCCAGAACGCAATCCCGATGCACTGCCGCCGAAGAACGGTTTTGAGCGGTTCCTCGTCCGAATCGGCAACTTCCTGCGGTACTTCAAGTCTCCCCAGGGTATTTTCGCGCTCAGGCACGCCGTTGTCTCGCTCGCGCTGTGGGTCCCCGCGGTCGTCCCACGCACGGCCTGGTTCTACTACGAGAACAAAGGGTTGTGGGCGCTGATCACCGCGCAGACGGGTTTGGCGACGTACGCCGGCGAGCAGCTGCTCACGCTCTTCATGCGCATGACGGGGACGATCGTGGGCATGCTCGTGGGCATCGTGGTCTGGTACATCGCAGCGCCCGGCCACGGAGACGGCAACCCGTACGCCGTGGTGATCGTCACGACTGTGTTCGCGGCGCCATTTGTATTTGGGCGCGTGTTCGGGCCCGTGTCGCAGATGATGTTCTGGGCGTTCAGCGCGCTGACGATCATGCTCGTCGTGGGTTACTCGTATCTGGACAGGCACTACCAGCAGATTGCGAACCCCGGCGTCGGACTCGAAACGGGGTGGAAGCGGGGCTTGCTGGTGGTCGTTGGGTTCGTCGGCGGGGTGCGTCTGTCTATGCTCACTCACTGTTCGTCCCGCGATATCTGAATGTCGGTGCAGAGCCTGGTGATGATGTTCCCGAAGCCAACGACCGCGCGCATGCTCGTGCGCAAGTCCCTTGCTGCGACCCTGCGCGAGCTGGGGATCACCCTCGCCAGTGAGGTTGAGGCGTTCTTGGCGGAAGAGGCGCGGGCGCGGCAAGGGGACTACGGCCGCGAGGAGATCGATATCGAGGAACCCTCGCAGTCGGAGCCGACGGAATTGTCTCCCAAGGAACGCCGTATCAGGCGGCTTGCAGCGAGGGTGTTGATTGTGCTGGTAAGACCGTCCTCTGGAATGTGTTGATGCGAGCGGTCCGACATACCATCTGTAGGAACGACTACAGCACCTGGCGCCGTCGCTGCTGACTGCTAGATGGGAACCTCAGCTCCAGTGCGTGATGCGCAACTCCGGCGTAGGATTGGCTGATTGATTGCGTTGACTGCCAGGGGTGCCTGGCCTGCTGCGGAATACCAAAAGTTGCATGCCTTGGAGTCTCGATTCGTCACTTATCTCGCGTTGCTCGCGGGTGCTCTGAGTAAACTGGACACAAAGTGGTGTTCTCGTCTCGTGCACAAGGTTCGTGTCAGTCGGGGGTCTTTAGTCTCATGCTCATCTGTTCCAAGACACCGTTCATGAATCCCAATATGGTGCGCTCCGTGATATACCTGGTGCAATGTCTGACGTGCCCTCAGCTGTCCGACATCTTTGCGACGATCTCGATACTGGGACATTCTCTCGAGAACGGACATCCCGTGCCTGGGACCCTTCCCTGTCTGCGGGAGCGACTGATGTACCACGATTCGCTGTTGCATCCCGAGCACGTGCACGATGATTCGTCGACCGGCTCGATGGTGCAACCGGACGACTCGGACGGGGACTCCATGGCCGATCTGGTCAAAGGCAAGATTGACGGAGGAAGTATCGGGGTGGAGGAGCTGTCGCTTGCCGTGCTCATGGCAAGTCGGATTGCATGTTCTGGGTTGCTCGCTCACGATGCCCACTTTCCAGGACGCGCAACTGCCGACGAACTCGACTGGTCCGTCCATCTCTCTCCATCGATGTCCAGTTGGTTTCCTAATCTGACCATACCCCCAGCTGTAGTCGCCCTTTCTATGATTTTGGGTGTGATCGATGACATCGGTGTGATCGTCCGCGACCTCTGCGGACGGACGAGTTTCCGCGGGTTCGAGGACCTGCACCACGACTTTTTGTCCAAGGAGGAAGCGGGGCTGGGCACATTTGCCGCGAAGTAGTTTTACATGGGTCCGCGCCAAGTTTATTTCTCAGTTATAGTAATAGTCGAGTGGCGTGTAGTATCATTTCGCTCGAGGCCTGTGAGTCAGTGACGATGGAATCATACACTGGCATTTGGGCAAAGGGCAGGCACGTTTCCAGGGTTGCAGTCAGTCCGTTTTTTTTTTTTCAATCAGCTTCTCGAGGTCTCCAGCGGACCAGAGGGTTGGTAAGGGATCTTGGGTTCTGTGACTTGCATCGGAAAGAGTCAAAGGTTCTAGAATGACTACATACACAGCTTTCCGATCGATCAGTTGTGTACACGTGACCGTGTTCAGTATTTCCTTCTTTCGCTGCTGACTAGATTCAGAGGGTCAGGTCGCGGCATGGCGGTACGCTGGAAATAATCGTGAATCTAGACAAGCTGATGTTACAAGCCAAGCGCTGGTGTGTTTGAGACTCTACTCACTTCAGAAGACAGATTTGCTGCATGGATTTTAGATCCAGTGCGAGCCATACACTGCACGCGATGGTGGGAAAGAAAGGCGTATATAAATACCGAGAGGGCTTTGCCGCTGACTGATCGGGCAGGCGATCTGCGTAGAGTCTCCGAGGAGGAACGCCCCCAAGAATTAAACTCCAGCCCATCCGCATTAGGCAAGCGGACGACCTACAATGTCCTATATCGCGCGCCTCCCACTGTCAAGAACGTGTTTCGTATGTGAATGTGTGACGGACTCTGTGTGGAAAATTCCGCCCCGCCGTCCGCCGATAGGCCCCGGCCGCAACACAGTTCAAATACTGCTTTAGCAGCCCTCCACCTTCTCCCGGTTCAACCTGCCTCACCATCAGCATCATCATCAACCTTGCTCCCCACGCACATGTCTCGCTCACCCGTTGTTGCCCTGCGCTGCAAGATCTGCCCTGGGCGTGTGTTCCCGAGCCGCGAGGCGCTCGTGCAGCACTCGCGGGAGTCGCCCGTGCACCCGTTCTGCGGCGACTGCCGCCCGGGCTTCGCGTTTGAAAGCGTGGAGAAGCTGCTGGAGGTAATACACGCAAGCTTAATTGACGCGTTTCCTGTTCGTCTGTTTTGGATGCCGCCGTGAGCTGATCTCGTCGTCCCCGCCACAGCACAACGCGCAGCACCACCCGACGTTCCTGTGCCGCAAATGCCACCAGCGGTTTTTCACGCAGTCGTCGCTGGACGACCACTACCGCGGGAAGGCGTCTGCGATCCACCCGAACTGCGACCGCTGCGGGAAGGGCTTCTTCGACGAGACGAAGCTGCGCGAGGTGTGTGCCGTCCTCGCTGGGCCACGCAATGAATGTGCTGACGGTTGGGTGTGCATGGCAGCACTTCAAGGAGGCGCATCCGCGCACGACGTGCTTCTGCGGGGCGACGATCTTCGACGACGAGATGCAGCAGCACTACCTGCGCTCGGCATCGCACCCGAACTGTGTGGTGTGCACCGAGGGCTTCAAGGACGACCTGGCGCGTAACGAGGTGCGGCTCGCCCACCCACTTCGTTTGGATTCTCACCTCGTTTTTCTTCTTCGTTTGTAGCACGGTCTTGAAAAACACGCCGACTGCATCTGTGTTCCGTGCCAGCAGCAGTTTATATCGGTCGCCGAACTCAACAAGCATTTCACCGTCTCGTTCAACCACCCGAAGTGCATGGACCGCCTGCTCGGCTGCAAGCGCGGCTTCCTCAACGAGCACGAGCTGCGCCAGGTGCGTAGTCCTCCTTACTTTTTTCGTTCGTGGGCGCTGATGGGCGGCTGGCAGCACCTGCTCGACGAACCCAGCCACTACACGCCCACCAGCTTCAACGCCCGCCTGATCGACACCCCAAAGCCTCTCCCGATGCCGATGCCGATGCAGATCCCCGGCGCCCCGCGCATCGCGCCGTGCGCCCTTCCGGCCCCCAACGCCGACGTCAGCCATGGTTGGAAGAATGTCAAGGTGTGTGTGTGTTGTTTGGCGACGCGTTTGGGCGGCGGGCTGATTGAGCTTAGAACCACATCGTCGCGCCTCGCCCGTGCACGCCGGGGGGTCACTTTGGCGCCGGCGCTGCGGGAACCTGGGTGCGCTCCTTCTGTCTTTGTTTCGTGTCAGACTGGGAACCATTCAATTTTCTCCAGGGCTACCACCACCCCGCTCCGACCGCCAGTGTTCGCAGCCAGGTGCGCCACCACTCCCCATTCATTCGTTGATATTGAAGCAGCACATGGCCGGGCCCAGGTGCACACCGCGGCGGGCGGCGCTCCTTACAACAACAACAACAACAACAACGGCACGGGCCCGCGCCCGAGCAACGCCGCACCGCGGTACGCTTCCGTGCTCGAGCCGCGCGCCGTGTGGGGTCGCGGGTCTGACGCCCCCTGTCGCAGGTTCAATCAGCACAGCCGCTCGTCCCTCGACTCGATCCACGCCTGGATCGCACCGCCGGGCTCGTCCTCGAGTGGATCGCCCTCCCTGTCGCCCTCGAGCGCCTGCTCCAGCTCGCGCTCGCAGGTCGTCACTCCCGCTGGGGGCCCGATGGTGGTGGGCGCAGCCCGGTTCGGCTTCGGCGGCGACTTTCGCGGGCCTCCGGTCGTCGCACAGAAGAACTGAGCTGAGTGTGTGTGTGTGGTCCTGTGCCGGCGGTGGTCAGTTGCCTTCCTCCTTCCTGACTTCTTGATTGCATGGCTGAAAACTCGAGCCCCAGTGCGGATGTCAATCGCAGTGTATCAGTCTCTGGATGCCTTTTCTCCCTCGCCTCTGAATGCTCTTCCTGAATTTGCTACCTAAAATGTTGTCTGGATGCTATGTACTACCCTACTCTTACATGAATTAGAAACTATGCTCTTGCTTGACGACATCGCGTGACGATGGATTCCTGAACTAGACATGCATTGCGGCGCCGATAGATACTCTTCCGTATCCGATATCAATACCTCTACTCTGTCCTTCTCAATGGAACTGCCGCATGTGTAATCGCATAGTTCTCTCTCCGATTCGCTCATTCATTTCTCACAGACACCCCCAGGCCCGCGACAGATCGCACGACAGCCCGAATACAATACGATACAATACAGTGCTGGGACCACGCTTCGATCAGCGCCGTGCTTCTCCCGCGAACCGCAGCCTGCGCAGATTCACCCAAAGGCGAACGACATCGGATTTGTGTGGGTGCGTGCGCCCTCGTGATCGTTGGGATACTGCTTTAGTTTGTCGGAACTCGAAGACGATATGCAAGCCGAAATGAAACGGATTGCCTCCGCTGCGTTCGAGATCGGGTCCCCCCTTCTGATCGAGGGTGGGCTTCCAGGGCTTCCCGTCCAGCACTCGAAATGGCAAAACGTCACCGGGCATCCGATTTCGAAACCGTGACGCGTGGCGGTGGGTATTCAGTACTCAGTCAGCATTAGCCACGCGCGTCATCTCGATTAGATCACATGATCGCGATGGGATGGCTGTGACCAGAGTTCCAAACGAGCGCTCGTCGACCACTCCACTCAGAGTAATAGACTGCGCCCATCTGCCGTCAAGCTAGTAGTATGCATGAATTCCGGGACAGCAAATCTGGTTGGAAGCCGCTATGCTTGACTCAGAGATGAAATGAAGAGATGCTGTAAGCGTTCTCGAAGCCGAGCCGGGCCAGCAGGAAAGCCAATGCCACACCCAAGTCTCCGAACCTGTTTCCTGTTCCATTCAGAAGAAAGCCTTCCTCTCAAGCAGTTGGATAGGACGTATTGGCTGGGATCACTACTATCCAGGTTCGACAAGGGAACCCTTCTTAGTCTCTTTCCGACAAGGTCGGCCAGAAACAAGTCAATGGTCGGTAAGTGATGTCAGAGTCGAAACAGTGCCATGCAATTTTCCGCTCGTCTTGAGGCCCAGACTCATTGGCTTGGCGCCGGTCTTTGCACTTGCCGAGGTTGTAGTACTTATGTCCAAGGCGAGGCAGGTTGAGTGCGTCGTAAAATTCCATAAATACAAGGTCTGCACAGATTTACCCAGAGCAGTCTGAGTACGATGCAAAATTCCATAAATACAAGGTCTGCACAGATACACCGACACTAAAAGACTACAACGACACAACGACACAGCACCGCTACATATATATTCTACATCCCACGCGTCTTCTTTCCAGCCCAAAATCAATCACGATCACGTCGGGCTGTCACGTGCAGCGCTCTGCCACCTCTTCCCCAGCGGGACGCGATGCCGCCGCTCGAACGGGCCGCCGACAGCGCGGATGCCGCGTTCCCAGACTTGCAGATGCACCGCTGCAGGCGGAGCGCGGGCCTGGTCGGTCTGGCACACCCGCTCGTACGTCCCTTCCTGCTTCAGGTGGTTGCGGCAGACGGCGCGGGCCCAGCGGATGCTGACCGACGTGAGGCTGGGCAGCGGCGCCGCCGCCGCGTCCGCGGGAGGAGCGAGGGCGCCGTAGACGCGCAATGCGGAGCTGCGCATGCTCTCGTCGGCGTAGCGGTGGCCCTTGGTCAGCGCGAAGTTGCGCAGCGCGGGCAACAGGCGCAGCGAGCGCGCGAGCTCCGAGAGCGGTTTCTGCGGACACCGAGTCAGCTCGTGGTCGGTTGACGTGAGGGAAGCGAGCTCACCCTCCCAAATGCTGTTGTGCACATGAAATGGAGCTCCTCTAGCTTAGGAGCCGACTTCCACAGCGAGCGGAAGAGATCTTCGTGTCCCGCTTTAGGGTCCAGCAAGTGGACCCAAAGCTCCAGACTAGTCAGTTGGGGCAGCGCTGCTAGCGCCGAGCACATCATCGCTGCTCGACTCAGATACAGCGGCTCGCACATGAGGTCGAGGCAAGTGAGCTGTTCCAACCTCGGGGTGACAAAGTTTGAGTTCGACAGCGACATCGGAAGTTGCTGCATGATACCCGACAGCGTTTCGAGTCCAGCCGGTAGAGTGACTGCGAACGAGTCCGATTCGATGGGTGACGGCCAGTGTCTGAAGTTCCACGCGACACGGAGATAGGTCAGCGCCGGGTGGGCAGCAAGGAACGCCCCAAAGTCCACGGCCGACGGTGCAGCGACCGAGAGATCGCTGTTGTATCCATAGGCGCCCAGCGTCAGTGAAGTCAGCTGCGGCCATCTCCCTTGCACGGCTCGATCGACATCAAGCAGCCGCTGCGATGCCGAAAAGGAGCACAGTGTTAGCTCCCGCAAGTTCTTGCACCGATCCAAAAGCATGTCCCAAAGCTGTGCCGGGAGTTCCTCGATGAGCGGGATTCCATCTATCCGTCGATGAGCGCGATGAAAGATGATAGATGATAGACTGTCCAACGCACTGCCGTCACCCAGCCCGTGCCTCACAGATAAGGAAAACACAGTCAGATCGCTGAATTTGAACAGCTGAGGAGGTGCTGTGAGCCCGGGGATTGTTCGGGTAAACCGTCCGCACTTCGCTTTGTGGGTCTAGGGATCCGCATCCCAGATTCGTGTACACCTCAGTCAGCGAAGGGCATCTCAAGCACAGCTGTGATCAGACGACCTGAGACCACGGAGCAGAACAGGACCCACGACAGCCTCAACGCACGCCAAACCCTATCCGCGGGCATCTCGAGCCCATCCCAGTCGAACGATCGCAGATTCGTGAGCCGAGGAGCCAGGCGACATATCGTGTCAGACAGATCGTCCTCGCGCAGACACTCGTCGCGGACGGGCCACGCGAGGTAGTAGTTCGGCCGCACCGCCAGCCGCTGCACGTACCGGCACAGCTGCGGTCGGCGCGAGAGCAGATCGAGGCCGGAGCGGCACGTCGTGCTCGAGCGCAGCTGCACCGAGTGGTAGAGCCCCGGCTCGAGGACCGATCGCACGAAGGATGACTGTCAATCCCGGTTAGCATCGGCTGGTTGGCGCCCACGCTACTAGTATGTAGGGCGTCCACGCACCGTGAGGCTGACGTTGAGGACATCCTCCGGGCCGAGGTACGAGACGACCTCGAGCAGGATATCGACCGGAATCCCGTCGCTTGGCCCGCCGCGCGTCCCGTGCAGCGTGGTCGTCGATGCGAATCCGACATGCCGGTCGAGCCCAGAGAGGGGTTGGAGCAGGAAGCCTGCGAGCGCTTGGAGACTCCGTCGTCGAGGGGGAGGCACCGGGCGCGAGGTCGCCACCATGGTTTCTGACTAGTGGGGAAGCAGTGACCAGTGGAGGTGGTAGTAGGATGGATGATCACAATTGCATCTACAGCTCCTTCTAGGGACGTGGGGAAATTGCAGCAGCCATTGAGTGATGTGCTGATCGCCGCTTGCGGAAGCCGGGCCGGACAATCCGATTTTGATGTATTTCATCTGATTTAATTTATTATTAGCACTCTGCGGCTTGGATCTGGAGCAGGCGGAAGTTACAGTTGCTCAGAGAATTGCACATCGAGGGAGGAAGCTCCCACATATCTCGGTGGCTTGCGTTTCAGGATGGAGTGCAAGATAGTCGTACGCCACATTCTAAAGTTGGAGACTTCCCTTGAGAACACATGCTCATTGCTGGCCCAGAAGGAATCGAGGACGTTGGAAAGAGGCAGCACACGCCGGTGCGGTCCGAGAGGATTGGGACTTTATATACAAGACACAGCCCGAGCGCATACTATCGTGGTTCTGATAGTCAGTTTGGACCCAGACCTCAGCTCGGAACTTTGACTGGAAGTATGTGAGAAACCACGAGTCCTCGGGGCTTACTTATAGCGCGCATACACACGAATTTGGTCTACGACATTTTGAAGAACTTGGGCCTCTCGTAACCGAGTTGTACCCGGCCGACATCGGGCGAAAAAAACACATCCGATGGATCGGCCGAAGACCAAGTAGCGAGGAGTTTCGTCCCTCGAGGTCTGCAGCGGTGCCACTCCTGAACGTCGCGTGGAGCCTCGTCCAAGCCCTTTTTTCAGCACCGGGATCTATATCTAATCAGATTACAAACGTGGGCCGTCCTGGACCGTGGTCCGTGGTTCTGGCCGCGATCTGGGCCGCGATGCTCCCCTGGCGACTCCATCTAATCAGATTACACGTTGCTCGGTTGCCCGGGTTATCAGATAGCCAGGATCTGGCGAGAGAACCCGCCCTCCCGGAGAAGCATTAGCGGGCGTTCTTGATTCTCATAACCGGCGGCAGCCGAGGGTCGTGCGCGGACTTTGAGGGGATTTGTTTTGGGGCTTCTCATGCTGAGAGGGCAGGTGGTGCTGCAGATATGATACCCGGGCGGCGGAATCGTGGTCGGGCGCCAGCCGTGGTTCATACAGATTTGTAAAGACAGCAGCGGGGCCCAGAGGAGGAGCTTCCTGACGAGGATCTGTAACTTGATGCGGAGCATGTCCGCGATGCATACTTGTGAAATTGAATGGAGGGAATCGTTATAGCATTGCGAGACGTCGAATAACAGATCGTAAAAGTACATACAAGCCCTTGAAAGGCGTATTTTTGACGCATCTCTCAGGTCGTTCAACGGGACACAAGTTACTTGGCTACCTCAGATGAAGGCCTCGAGGGCGATTGCTCAATGGGCTCCCGCGACTTTTCCTCCAGCGCAAGACGCCGGCGGGCGCCAGCCGCGGACTCAATCCCGAAGAACTTGGTCCGGCCCTCCTTCCACTTCATGTGCACCAAGACGGCGATAACTGCCAGCCAGTAGAACACGTAGCTGAGCACAGAGCCGACTGTCACCGATGCATCAGTGCTTGGCATCAGAAGGCGGAGAGAGAGGACGCACGCGTTGCGGAGTTCGTCCAGCCAAAGAACGCACTGAAGATGCCCCATCCGTTCGTGCTGAGCTTGTTTTCGGGGCTGCAGCATTCCAGGTGCCACACATTGCCCTGCACGCGGAACGAACCCGGCCCGTCTCCTCCCGTGTCATCGACATCCACACCGAGGATAACGTTGAAGGCGTGTTTCTCGAAGGACCACACCGAGCGAGAGAACAGGCCAGCGCCGATCAGGAGCACGAGGTTGGTCATGACGATGAGGAAAATCGAGAGCGTGGTCCGCGAGGCGAAGCTGTAGACGAACATGCCGACGACGAGTCCGGCAATGAGACCGACGATAGCAGCGATGGGGATGGCCGTAGCAGATTGGCCGAGGGCGACACCACCAACGAAGACGACAGCCTCCATACCTGACACAGTCGTGAGCAAGATAGGCCGGCGGCGCGTGAATAGGGAGCACATACCTTCACGCAGGACAGTGACGAAGGGGAGGATGAACAGCACCCAGCGTCCAGCACGCGACTCGCCGTCTGCCTGTGCACCGCTGAACGCACGCTCAAGCTTGACGCGCCATTTAGCCTTGGCTGGTTGGAGCTTCAGCAGCAGTCGCTTGCGAAACGAGAAGCGGCATACCGCGGTCCATCTTCAGCATGGTGATACCCATAACGAAGATCATGAGACATGCGATCAGCTCGAAGATAGCCTCCCAGAGCGCCTCGGACTTGGCCCAGAGATTCGACGCCTTGGTGAACCAGACAGCAATGAAACTGTTCGGGGAGATTAGGGAAAGCCTGGCACGCCCGAGCAGGAGAAATACGGACGCGGCACCAATGGCAAGGGCAAGGAAAAGACCGAGGAAGGCACCGGAGAAGATCTAACACCGCTGGTCAGTATGCTGCTTTAGAGACCGCGCGAAGGAAAAATAGAAACCTGAATGCGCATCTTGCGGATGAGCATTTTGCGGTGAGCCGTGTCATCTTCCGGGTCGGCAGACGCGTCCTTCTCCGTATCGGACGATTCCGCAATGTGGTGACGCTGACCGAACTTGTTGGTGTCGTCGTAAACAATTTGCTCTGCGAGACCCAGGAGAACGGAGATGATGAGCGCGGCCTCGATGGTCTCACGGAACACGATGAAGAAAATAGGGACGGAGAAGAGGTTTCTGGCCATTGCGACGGGGGCGGCGGGGACACGAGTGGGAGAAAGCCTGGAAGCAAAAAGCGGGCCATGCGGGCGTTTATATGACCCTTCCAAAGGGAGCAAGGGGCGCCTAATCTGATTAGATGTGTGACGGCCAAGAGATGATGGGAAAAAACCAAGCCAAAGTCCGCGATTACTCTTATCCGATTAGATGGCGTGGGCAGGCTCTACGCGGGCAACGTGCCCATCCAGACCGGTCGGAAGATGTCGGAAGCACGCGAAAAAGTCAGCAGACGGAGATGCGAACGCTCGCAGGACTGTCGTTCCACCGCGCAGACCCGATTCTGGGCCAATAGGAACCGAGACGGTTATCAGATTACCGGTCGCATCTTGTCGGCCGTAATCTGATTAGACAAGGCAGGATATTTTTGCCCCTCTGTTTGGCCCATTTGGTGCCGGCCTCAGATCTGGCACTTAAACCCCGGCGAAAAAATGGAGCACCCTCCATCGCATCCCTCCCCATGTGGCCGCTCGCTCTCCTGCCCGTGCTCGCTGCGCAGCCTGCCCTTGCGGCCCTCCATGAGCTTTGGTGGAACCTGACCTACGTCGACGGGGTCAACCCTGACGGTCTCGCCCCTCGCCGTGCCATTGGCGTGAACGGGACATGGCCGCCCCCCATGATCGACATGAGCAGTAACGACACGCTTCTCCTCCATGCGACCAACTCCCTCGACACGGTCTCGACGCTCCACCACCACGGCATGTACTTCAACTCGTCGTCGTGGAACGACGGTGCCGTCGGAGTCTCCGAGTGGTATGTTGCGCTTCGCACTAGCCGTGTCCAGTTTTGACTTTGCTCCAGCGGTATCCCCCCCGGTGGCTCCGGGTCGTACGCAATTGACATTCCCGGTTCTGGACAGTGGGGGTCTTACTGGGTGCATGCGCATGCTTCTGGACAATACGTCGACGGACTTCGCGCACCATTCGTCATTCACCCGCCCAAGGAACACTACACCTACGACGACGACTTCACTGCGGTGTTGGGTGACTGGTACCATGACGAGCACTCTGTCCTGATGAAGCAGTTCGTGAGCATCGCCAACCCCGGCGGTGCCGAGCCCATCCCTTGTCCGTATCTTGTTCGCTTGCGATGCGTGACAGCGTCACTAACGCCGCTCCAGCGTCGGGTCTCATCTACTTTGCCCATAACGGCCAGTACCTCGGACCGGCCGCAGGCACATCACCCCAATCGGGCACGGCCGTTGGTTACAACGAGAATGCGACTCTCCCCTTCGAGGCTGGCAAGACGTACCGTATCCGCGTGATCAACACGTCCGCGTTCGCGATGTTCTTCTTCTGGATAGACGGCCACAACATGACTGTCATTGAGGCGAGTTCTCCCGGACCACGCGTCTTCTATCTTTGGCTGACGGTGCCCAGGTTGATGGCACGGACATCGAGCCCTTCCCGATCGACCTGCTCACTGTGACTGTCGCCCAGCGCTACTCTATCCTCGTAACTGCGCGCAACGACACCTCAGCCAACTGGGCTGTCCACGCGAACATGGACACGGACATGTTCGATCGGGTGCCGCCTGCCCTGAACCCGAGTATGTCGCTGGTCGTGTGTCTCTTGGAATGTACTGATCCTTGTGTAGACTCGACTGCGTCGATCACGTACTCGTCCTCCGCTCCGCTCACGAACTTGGGAACGATCGACGCGTACTCGGACGTTGATGATATCCACATGACCCCGGTTGACCTCGTTGCCGCTCCCCAGTCCGTTGCGCAGACCCTCGAGCTGGAGGTGTGTGGTCTTTCTCCTTTACCTGATGTTTCGCTCAACATCATCAGTTCAACTTTGACACGATGGACGACGGCACTAACCATGCCATGATCAATGGAGTCACGTACAACTCCCCTCTCACTCCGGCCATCCTGAGTGCCTTGACTCTGGGCGAAAATGCGACGATAGCCGAAGCGTATGGTCCCCAGAGCTTCGTTCTGAATCACCTCGATGTTGTCGACATCGTGGTCAAAAACGGGGACGCCGGGAAGCATCCTTTGTGCGTTCGCTTCTTTGTTATCTGATAACGGAATCTGATGGAGGTCCCGATAGCCATATTCATGGACACAAGTTCCAAATCGTCGAGCGATCGTCCGACTACACCTCCAGCGATCCCTCGGTGATCACCATCGCCAACCAGACCAATCCTCTTCGTCGGGACACGATCCAAATCGAGAGCGGAGGCTCTGCCACTCTTCGGTAGGTGCTCATGTGGTACCTTCGCCCCTAGTGCTAACTGCCGCGGGCAGAATCGTCGCGGACAACCCCGGTGTCTGGTTCTTCCACTGCCACATCGAATGGCATCTGGAAGTCGGACTCGCAATCCAGCTCATTGAGGCACCGATCCAAGCACAGCAATTCGCCGCCAACGTCCCGTCCTTCTTGGCGGAGAACTGCGCCGCACTGGACTTGCCTTTCTCGGGCAACGCCGCGGGCCACACTAACCCGACGGATCTCCAGGGCCTACCGCTGGGGCCGTTCCCGCAGAACAACGGTTGGCACGCGAAGGGGATCGGTGCGATGGCGGGCTGCGTCTTGACTGCCTTGCTCGGTGCGTTGTCCTCGTCGTTGTTGTGTCAAGTGATTCTTGCTCACGACTCGTTTCAGGCATGCTCTCTGTTGTGTGGTACTCGCTCGGCGGCCATATCTCTGAGGAGGAGCAGGAGCAGGAGGTCCGTGCGCGGATCGAGGCGAAAGAACGTCGGGGCAAGTTCTTTGGGCTGCTGAAAAAGAAGGACTGAGTTCCTGGGGGGCCGGGCACACGAATGCTCGGAGGGATGTACGATTAGATGCTATGACATGTATGCGAATGTATCATGACTTGAACGGCCCAGTAATGTCTCCTCTGCTCGTGTTTTGGGCCCGGCGTTTGTCGGGCCGGCGACTGAATGACGTGCGTAGGTGTTTATCGCGGTGCTTCGGGCTTTTTTGATGCGACCTGGGAAGTCGGTCTCGACGACAGCTCGCCCGACCCTAGAGTAGCCTACCACGCATGCTCGCACATGTTAATCCCATCAACCACTTGGTGATGATCTGTCATCTACACCGCCGCTGTCGGGGACGCACCCCGGGGTGCACCATGGCGAGGCTGGACTCAGTGAAACACCGTGGTCGGGCAATTGGGTGATGCCCGATCCAACCTGCAGGCCCAAGCACTGTCGGTCAGCTTACATCGGATTGACACAGAAGCTGATAAGCTCACGAAGTATTAAAAGGATGATGGTGAGACATCCCCTCATTACACTACGCACTACACCCCCCGACATATTCTGTAATGGCCTCTGAGAACCTTCCCGAGCTCGTCATCCGAGAGGTGTGCGCGCGGATTCCGCATCGGATCCTCAGTGGCTTTGCGCGCGCTGACAACCCGTCAGGTCACCCCGGATATCACCACATTCTCCAAGTGCGTCATGGTTTTCTGGCTCCGGATCGCGTTTGAGGCTCATGGACCGTGTAGGCCATTCGCACGGTTCAACATCCTTCCCTTTGGCGGGCGCTCGACGGCGGTCCGACTGGCCGGCGGAGACGTGTGGGTGCTGGCGTCGACGCCGCTGACGCTGGACACCAAGGCAGCAATCGACAAGATGGGTCCCGTAAAGTGCGTCACATTCTCGAGACGCACGCGTCTGCTGTCTTCGTCGTCTGATTGTTTGTGTCGAGGTACATCATGGGCGCCGATGTGGTGCACTACCTGTACCTCGGTGCGTGGTAGCGTAGCCCAAGTTCCCTCTCTCTCTCTCTCACACACGCGGATCACGAGCAGGTCAATTCAAGGCAGCGTACCCTGAAGCGAAGGTGATCGGGGTTGAGGCGCTTATCGAGAAGATGCGAAAACAGGGTGTCGAGCTTGACGGAGGTGCGCGGAAAGCTATGCTCAGGCGACTTATTCTGAGCTACGCGACAGCATACGGAAAGGACGCCCCCGAGACCAAATACGGATTCGAGGATGAGGTGAGCATCGCGGCGGAACTCATCCGCTTCATTTCGCTGACGGTCCGGTGCCCCTTCTTTCTCCAAGATCCACGCTTGGTGCGCATCTGAAACTGCGGGCTTTCCGAGTCCCATTGACTCGGCCTCGCAGCTACTTCCCCGGATTCGCAAACAAAGACGTGGCGTGGTTCCACGCCGCAACGAAGACGCTCATCGTCGCTGATCTGCTATTCAACCTACCCGCAACCGAGCAGGTGCGCGTGTGTTTAAAATTTGTGTGTGCTGCACGCGTCTGCCCCGATCTGACGCCCGGGGGCCAGTACTCGAAGTCCAAGTCTTCTCCCAAGGTGCCGATCTTTGGGAAATTAGATCCGTGGGGCTCTGTGCACAAGTACTTCGTGTGGAGTCAAGGGAAGGACAAGAAGTGAGTCCGGCTCGATCGCCCGCGAGTTCGAGAGGTTGACGGTCGGCGATCGCAGGGCCATGAAGCGGGATGCACAGACCGTGTTGGACTGGGCGCCGGAGCGGATTATCATGTGCCACGGGGTAAGCCTGACTCGTAACGCTGCTTCTGTGGTTTCTCAGGCGTCTATCAGGATGTTATCGAGAAGAATGGGACGGACGCCTGGCGGGCGGCGTACTCCAAGTATTTCGACATGGCCTGAAGGATCTTGCGGCGATAAGTTATACACATATACTACTACACACATATGGTGGCATTGCTACGTTTTGGAACAATCACTGATCTCACATTACCCGCCAACATCAATACTCGACAAGCCGCAAGAGCTCTCGCGCTGGATCCGAGTCTCTCACGGCTCTCTCCTGACGCCACAGTTTCCGAACGCTCAACGCATTCCGCACCAGAGCTCTCCCCTTGGCGCTTTTGAGATCAGCAAAAGTTTTGCGGAACTCGGCCGTTGCATCTGCAAGTGTCCCAGTGATGTTCCTCGGCGCGTCGGAGCGCAGAGATGGGCCCAGCTGTGCGCCTGCGCGGATCTGCAGAGGTATTCAAGATGGGAAGCTTTGAGTTTGAGGGGATTTGCAGCGCAGCTTACCTGGAAGAGTTCGATTGCAACAGGCGCTGGCCCCGTTGACAAAAGCACTGCATTGACCGCCTGTTCAGCCCCGATGGGCCAGACAATCAGCGGAATACCCTGAGTGAGCGATTCCGTGATCGAGCTGAATCGAGAGAGATGAGTTCGCGGGTCATGATAGAGGAAGTGTCGTCCGCACTTGTAGCCCCCGTGCGTCAGAACCCATCCAACGCAACCGCTTTGCAGCACGGCTTGCTGCTCGACCCAGAAGTCGCAGACGAGCCCGCGTCCACTGTTGTGTATCCGGTTGACAATGTCTTCCGGGAGCGAAGCGAGCTTCCCGGCCAGAACGAAAACGAACGGTAGTTCCTCGTCTAGTTGCAGAAGTACATCGACCATCGCGTTCACGTGTTCCGGAGTCGCGCGGGGGAAGAACAGCGAGCTAGCTCAAACGCAGCTGCGTCAGCTGAAATTGAACTGGAGGGAGATGAGCAGCAGGAGATCTCACCCGAATGAGATGTACAAGACAGATCGGGGTCCGTGTTTTTGGAATTTATCCTCCAGGAACCGCTTCAGTTTCTCGTTGCTCAGTTTCGCGTTGCGGGGGCACGGAAGTGGGCCTCCACTCCCGCCGCAGCTGTCGTCGAAATACGAGTCGTGCATCTGCGGGCCGACGGCGAATACCACCTGCCCGCGCGCGCGGTAGAAGTCTCGCACGGGGGAGATGGAGCCAGGCTCGAGCGCCGCGCTGCCGAGCGCGATGAATGCGTCGACACCGGCGGACATCTCGGCGGCGGAGTAGATCACGGATGCTACACCGTCGGGATCGCCGGCGCCGCGCGCGATGTGTTCGTAGTCGTATATATCCGGGATCCCAGGAATGTGCAGCACACGGCCATCGAGTTTGTCGCTGCCGTTCCAGGCGGTGATCACCTGTACGCATCGGTCAGAGGAGTGACCGGTATCGGAGGCTGACAAAGGAAGATAGATATCGAACGCACATCTACGATGATCTTTTGTTGGGTCCTCCCCTCTCGTTTTGCCTCGTCTTCGGAGATCTTTCGTACGACTCGCGGGAAGTTGTAGGTGTCCAGCACGTCCGGCATTGTGGTGACCCCGCTCGATGTGAACATGACCACCTTCACGCTGAGCCCCAGCAGCTTTTTCGTCGGCTGGAACACGAATCCGCCGCCAAGGAAGTCCATCTGGCCACCATATCAGGATACATGCGAGGGTTGCGGCGGAGACACTGACATGCACTGTCCGGGGCCTGGGCCATTTGGTCGACGCGTCTGTCGCCATGAGACCAGCCAAGATCTCCAGCCAGCCCCCCACAAGCTCTTTCGTCGCTTGCTCCATAATCGCCGGAGTAAACTCCGCGCTGGAGAAGAAACCCTAAGTACAAGTGCAACGCACATGGAATCCCATAGGGACGGCCGAGGACGTACTTTGCCGAGCCGACACCGAGAATCGACAGTCGACGCGCGTCGTATTTGCAGCCCTCCAGCTCTCGTTTCATCTTCGGTACTGCCAGTGGGTGAGGGTGTGAATTTCGGCTTTGAGAAGCGCGATCGACGCACCGACGACGTTGTGCTGCACGATAGTGATGACCAGGCTGGGATCGGTGCGGAGGAGACGGATCGCGAGATGTAGGTAGGGCAGGGCGTGGCCCCATGCCGGAGAAAGCAATGTTGCGATATGTCGAGACATGCCTTTGGGTGGGGGAAGCGAATGTCGGTGGTGATTGAGACTCGACTGCCGACCGACCAAGCCTCTTTATATCCACGGCACGATGGCACGGCGTGACATCTCGACGAGAGACTGATGCAACCTCGTAGATGATACGTCTGTCTTCTCAACGCGGTTGTCGTCGTGAGCAGCAGGGTGCGATCCTAATCTCACGTGCATGTGGCTGTGGCTGAAAACACGTCGGCCGTTTCCGTCCCAGTATGGTTCAACAGATGAGCACTGCCTCACAGATCGGCGATCACACGAGGAGTTTTGTCAATGGTGAATATATATATATATATAGAATTTCTCTACGACTGTGGAACCCAGGAAAGACGAATATCAACTATTCAAATGTGGTGCTGTTCAACGCGTTCAGCGAGGGGCTGAAGAAGTACTCTCCACCGCGAGAGACGACAAAGTCTGCCAGCAATCAGTATATGCGACGCATGCTGTTACTCAGTTCCCGCGAACGTACCCATGGGGACTGTCTCGACTGCAGCAGGAGTGAACGGATCGAGGCCGAGAACATCGTGTGATCCACCACCGACGGTGCCTAGAGGTGGGAGTTCAGACTCGTACGCGTTTCAGGCGGTGTCGGTGCGAACTCACCGATGAGGGGATCGACGCCCGTTCCGCTCACGACGAAGCTGTGAGAGCGGGTTGATTTTGATCCCACGTCAAAACTGCGAATGACACTCACTTTGCATTGTTGATCCAGAACTGTTGGAGGAACTGGAACCCTTTCGAGATGTCTGATTGGTAGGCCACTGTGCATCGAAGTCAGCGGGATTCAGAAGCACAACCATGGCAGAAGAATGTACCAAAGGCCAATCCGCGCTCAGCCATCGTCTTGTTCTGGCTGATCTCGGTGTTGTTCACTGCCGGGATCGGTTAGCGGGAGCTCTCGTCACAGAAGAGAGCAACTGAAACGTACTTTCGGGACCGTAAGGAATGCCGGCCCGCATGATGTGGTGCACGGCATCCTCCGGACTGCCGAGATCGGACCGGGGCCGTGTCTTGCGCAGATGGGCAGAGTGCGGGCAGCTACAGAATATGAACCCGTCCAGTCAGCGGCCAGTCTACGGAGTAGGTATCTTTGAACGCGCACCCAGTAGTGTTCAGGACACCGAGCAGCTCGGTGTAGTCAAAGTCGTTGTTGCGCGACGCATTCGCACCGAGCACCGGGTCGTCACTCAGAGGGCTCAGCTGGATCGGAGCACCCTATTGCAGTGGCTCAACGAGAATGTCCGACGATCATGGGTCTGAAACTCACGCTCTTCCAGCGCCCCACCAACCGCGCACCGAACAGATCCGCGCCTTCCTGCTCCGTGAGCGTCAGACTCGAGTCAGAGATCGAGTTGTTGGCCAAGAATTGGTTGAACTCGGGAACCAGCTGCTCGAGTTGCCGGAAGACGAGGAACGAGCCGTCAAGGGCCCAATCGGGTCGCGTGACCGGGTCGTTGATCTCTCCCAGAAGAATCGTGCCCGCGTCGACAACGGCTTGCCCGGGGAACGGCGATGCGACGAAGCCGTTCACCGCAGGGTTCGAGATTCCGTCCATGTAGCCGAAGTCTGTGATGTGATGGTTTCAGCCACGTCACGTGCCAAATTGAACATGAATCGAGTATGAACTCACGTTCGTGTCCGGCCTCTGCACCCGGTCGCGCTGCACCCTGGATCGCGTGAAGCTTCGTGATGGACGAGCCGAGGATGCCCTCGACGTTCGCGATCTCCGCGTCGATGTTCGCCTGTGTGTCGGACGCAAAGAGGAATACGCCGTGGACCGTGGTGCCCGCAAAGGCGGGGACCCAGTTGGCGTCGCTGGCGTCGCCGATGTTCGAGATGTCTGCGTGTTGGCCTGTCGCGAAGGGCGTGTCGCCAAGGTCGTCGGTGATGTTGAGCGCGAGAAGCCCTGTCTGCGAGAACGCGACGTTGAGCGCGGTCGTCGGCTGTGTCGATACGCTGAGCAGCTGCGTCGTCGTCGTGATCAGCGGGAAGACCCCGCTGCGAAAACTCTTTTTGAACGCGCTCCCGTCGTTGACAGAGAAGAAGTAGAACGTCTCGCTCGACTTGCGCATTCCAACTCTGCAGCACGGTTAGCGAAGAGACTTCGTTCAAGCCGGCGGAACGACGGACAGGATGTCGCCTTGGACGTTGTCCAAGTTCAGTCCCACCGCACTCGACGCGGCCGCGGCCTGCTTCACAGTGGGGAGTGTGGGGAACGCCTCCGGGCCTGTGGAGAGCGCGCGTCAGAGCATGGTCCACCGATCGACGACACCACAAACTGATGAGGATGGAGGCCTTCGCCGCCACCAAGGCGACGTTGACGAGGACGACGAACGCTTTGAATCCCATTTTGAGCTAGGTGTGAAGAGGCCGAGCTGAGATGCAGCTCTCTCCTCTGCCCGCCGTCCTTTTAAAGTCGAGCCCTCGATCTGCAACGGGGATAGATGTGCGTCTTGCGAGTATGCCCGCACCGATCCTCGCAACGACGCAGAGTCCGTATCTTTGCGCAACCATCGTGAACGAGCTGCGAAAGTGTCAAGTGCGTGCTTCTTGGCTGGCGGTTGGATTTCTGCCGGATTGTTCAGTCCCAGTTCGGGCAAGCAGTTCTCAAGGAGCGCGCTAAGGTTTTCCCAGCCATCACACTACCTGAAAGGAGCAGCGAGTTACCCACCTTAACCTTCCCTCCAATCAAGCGGCCCGCGCCATGTACCGCGCCAAGGAGTCCATATTCAGTCACTCTTACAAATCCAGGGCCGTTATGATTGCCAGTATGTCAGCCTCGACGTGCATTCTTCACACATCTGCTTGAAAGCCGGGCTCCGGAGTCATCGAGATGACTCTTACCGCTCGCCCGAGGCACGCACTTGTGAACGAGAAGAACGCTTGCGAAGTGATTCGAACCACGAGAACGAGGGATCATGACAATCTGGGAAGCCACATGGTTAGCAAAACTGCCAAAGAGATTGATATAGACCCCTCATCCTGGATAGTGGAAGCAGCGAAGAGCGTAGCTGCGTGGGATTCGAAAAGAAGAGTGCGTTCTTCGGAGAGATCAGCTGCGCGTTGCGTTCTTTTTTTGTATTCGCTGTTCGACCGTGGAAGTCCGGCGGTAGATGTTTCGGGTCCGTTTTGTCACAATCACCTCTTGTCACAGTTTCAACGGGATAGGAACGGATCGACGAGTTCGGCGATCCGAACGCGGGGATCCGAACCGGAATCCATTTGGTACTTATCCATCTCTTGTTACTAAACAATGTTTACTACTCCCGCCACCAGGTCCCCTCAATTCTTGGTTCATGAACCGAGGTTTTGATGAATGCAACAGAGTTTGGTAGTCGACATCAGGCTTCACTGAATTTGATCAATAACAAGCTTAGATATCTCTGTTTGAGGACAAGCATGTATGATCTGAACACAAAGCTACTACAAGAGCAAACCTGTGGCTTACTGCATTCCTTGCCTCTATGAATTCATTTCTTTTTTCAGTAGTAATTCAATGCAATTATTGTAATCAATCTGAAAGGAATCTAGACAAACATCCAAAACAGACCTTCAAGTACTCTCAGAAATATTCTGTCCTTCCTAGAAATGACGTTCACCATCTTGGATAACATTACCCTCCACAGTGTTGTGCACTTTGTCCTAAAATGGGAATGTCTCTGCTAGCCATCAGCCAAACTCAGTGAAGGGTGATGGTAAATCCCAAAATCTGTTGGGTTCATCAAAACCTTGTGGGCCTGGTTCACAAACCAAGAAACAAACAGACCTACTCATCTGCATCTGTTGTGGGAGAAGTCTTGCCAAAATTACAATTCTTAGGGCTGCCAATTGCTGCTAACCCAATCTTTCCCAATGTTTTATTCATTAGTGTCAAGGGAACTCTCTCTTGCATCTGATCTGCATGGGATATTTGCATGTGACTACATGTGTGCTACCTACCAGGTGCTATGCTGAAGCCTGTTTATCTTAGCCACTATCACTGTACAGTCATGGCCGGATTCAAAGGCCCTACCCAAATTGGGAAGGAGCCCCAGAAGTATTATCAACTGGCTGATCACAAGATTTTAGGTAGAATTTGGCAACTGTTCACAATTTGATGTCTACTTCAGTTTAGATTTAGGATGACTGGTTTAGTTTTGGCTAGAATCTGGTGCACTGGACTCACTGTAAATATATTTGAGCTGAAGTTGATAGCACTTTCCTAATTTGGGTTGGGCCATTTAATTTGGCTCTGACAGTATGTTGATGGGATATCACTGCCACAGAGTCATGGCAAATGAGAAATAGCTAACAACACACCTAGATAAGATAGTGAGTAAGTCAGAGGGACCAGTGATGGCCAGCCCCACAGGCACCCACAGTGGAAGTGTCATAGTTCAACCCTTTTTCATCTTATCATCAACCATCTTATCTTATCTCGCTATCTCGGCACGAATTATCTTATCACGGATCACGGCATCCGACAGTCCGGACTAGGGGTTCCAGGGATTATCTTCATCGATTTGAGGCTGCGCGACATATGCTCCAGAAGGTTCTATTACAACCCATGACCAGTGCTCCATGCGGTACATAGCCTTGTGACTCATTAGTTGTAGATATGACTCAGACTGGATTTGGGTATAAATACTGTAGCTACTTGGTTGTATTCTCCAGTCTTCGAATTCACTTCTCTTTTCGACTTTGTTTTTGGGTTGATTGTCACAGGAAGGCCACATTTGAGGAGCCCAGTGGCTTGGCCAGTAAGTCAAGACATCAGAGGCAAGTGCCAACACTCAACTGGGAAGGGGGTGGTGTGGATGAGCCCAAAGGCATCTGGTACAAGCCTGTCACCCTTAATTCTCCCCAATTTTGTCTAGTTTAGCACTAGCCTTCTAAGCTTAATCTGATAAAAATTGTCTGGCACTAGTGCTGGCCTGATCAGGCATAGTCAGAGGTCCTAGCAGAGCCAAAAGTAGTCTAAGAATACTATACATCATGTCATGTCTACATGGTGTGATAGTCACTGATACAAACATGTTTCAAAATGCTCATCACAATGAATGGAGATGTAATAAATTGTAAGATATAAATTTGAAATTTTTTGAAATATATGAAGAGCAGAAAAAGAAGTTTTCAGAACAGAATCTGTGACAGAGTACGGGCTACTTATGCCAGAAAATGCCAGTGCATACCTGTGAGGGTTGCTCACCAGAGAAAGTGATCTGTGCCAGAGGAAAGGGATGTGTTGTTGAAGGTAGTTGATGCCCTTGGGTAAAACACAATGTCTTGGCAGCAGGAGACATCGTGAAACCAGGATCCGTGCCCAGAACACTGTTGAAAGTCCTACAAGGCCTCGGAAAATACTGGGTAAGCGGCGATCTGCGGTCCTAAGAATCGTAATTTCAGCCGGACTGTTTCATCGATTGATACAGACGAGTTGTGGGAGTAGTGAACGAAGCTGAGCAACGGAAGAGGTGGAGAAGACCAGATCAATCTAGATCAATCCGATTCGTCGCAGTCGGATCACCAATCTCGTAGATCATTACCGAATGGGGACGAGGAGATGGCTGTAACAAAGCGGAACCGCGACTTCTAACGTCCGGCTTCTGGCGTCCTACGGCGAATGCCAAAACCGAACGCAACGCGCAGCTGATCTCTCCGAAGAACGCACTCTTCTTTTCGAATCCCACGCAGCTACGCTCTTCGCTGCTTCCACTATCCAGGATGAGGGGTCTATATCAATCTCTTTGGCAGTTTTGCTAACCATGTGGCTTCCCAGATTGTCATGATCCCTCGTTCTCGTGGTTCGAATCACTTCGCAAGCGTTCTTCTCGTTCACAAGTGCGTGCCTCGGGCGAGCGGTAAGAGTCATCTCGATGACTCCGGAGCCCGGCTTTCAAGCAGATGTGTGAAGAATGCACGTCGAGGCTGACATACTGGCAATCATAACGGCCCTGGATTTGTAAGAGTGACTGAATATGGACTCCTTGGCGCGGTACATGGCGCGGGCCGCTTGATTGGAGGGAAGGTTAAGGTGGGTAACTCGCTGCTCCTTTCAGGTAGTGTGATGGCTGGGAAAACCTTAGCGCGCTCCTTGAGAACTGCTTGCCCGAACTGGGACTGAACAATCCGGCAGAAATCCAACCGCCAGCCAAGAAGCACGCACTTGACACTTTCGCAGCTCGTTCACGATGGTTGCGCAAAGATACGGACTCTGCGTCGTTGCGAGGATCGGTGCGGGCATACTCGCAAGACGCACATCTATCCCCGTTGCAGATCGAGGGCTCGACTTTAAAAGGACGGCGGGCAGAGGAGAGAGCTGCATCTCAGCTCGGCCTCTTCACACCTAGCTCAAAATGGGATTCAAAGCGTTCGTCGTCCTCGTCAACGTCGCCTTGGTGGCGGCGAAGGCCTCCATCCTCATCAGTTTGTGGTGTCGTCGATCGGTGGACCATGCTCTGACGCGCGCTCTCCACAGGCCCGGAGGCGTTCCCCACACTCCCCACTGTGAAGCAGGCCGCGGCCGCGTCGAGTGCGGTGGGACTGAACTTGGACAACGTCCAAGGCGACATCCTGTCCGTCGTTCCGCCGGCTTGAACGAAGTCTCTTCGCTAACCGTGCTGCAGAGTTGGAATGCGCAAGTCGAGCGAGACGTTCTACTTCTTCTCTGTCAACGACGGGAGCGCGTTCAAAAAGAGTTTTCGCAGCGGGGTCTTCCCGCTGATCACGACGACGACGCAGCTGCTCAGCGTATCGACACAGCCGACGACCGCGCTCAACGTCGCGTTCTCGCAGACAGGGCTTCTCGCGCTCAACATCACCGACGACCTTGGCGACACGCCCTTCGCGACAGGCCAACACGCAGACATCTCGAACATCGGCGACGCCAGCGACGCCAACTGGGTCCCCGCCTTTGCGGGCACCACGGTCCACGGCGTATTCCTCTTTGCGTCCGACACACAGGCGAACATCGACGCGGAGATCGCGAACGTCGAGGGCATCCTCGGCTCGTCCATCACGAAGCTTCACGCGATCCAGGGTGCAGCGCGACCGGGTGCAGAGGCCGGACACGAACGTGAGTTCATACTCGATTCATGTTCAATTTGGCACGTGACGTGGCTGAAACCATCACATCACAGACTTCGGCTACATGGACGGAATCTCGAACCCTGCGGTGAACGGCTTCGTCGCATCGCCGTTCCCCGGGCAAGCCGTTGTCGACGCGGGCACGATTCTTCTGGGAGAGATCAACGACCCGGTCACGCGACCCGATTGGGCCCTTGACGGCTCGTTCCTCGTCTTCCGGCAACTCGAGCAGCTGGTTCCCGAGTTCAACCAATTCTTGGCCAACAACTCGATCTCTGACTCGAGTCTGACGCTCACGGAGCAGGAAGGCGCGGATCTGTTCGGTGCGCGGTTGGTGGGGCGCTGGAAGAGCGTGAGTTTCAGACCCATGATCGTCGGACATTCTCGTTGAGCCACTGCAATAGGGTGCTCCGATCCAGCTGAGCCCTCTGAGTGACGACCCGGTGCTCGGTGCGAATGCGTCGCGCAACAACGACTTTGACTACACCGAGCTGCTCGGTGTCCTGAACACTACTGGGTGCGCGTTCAAAGATACCTACTCCGTAGACTGGCCGCTGACTGGACGGGTTCATATTCTGTAGCTGCCCGCACTCTGCCCATCTGCGCAAGACACGGCCCCGGTCCGATCTCGGCAGTCCGGAGGATGCCGTGCACCACATCATGCGGGCCGGCATTCCTTACGGTCCCGAAAGTACGTTTCAGTTGCTCTCTTCTGTGACGAGAGCTCCCGCTAACCGATCCCGGCAGTGAACAACACCGAGATCAGCCAGAACAAGACGATGGCTGAGCGCGGATTGGCCTTTGGTACATTCTTCTGCCATGGTTGTGCTTCTGAATCCCGCTGACTTCGATGCACAGTGGCCTACCAATCAGACATCTCGAAAGGGTTCCAGTTCCTCCAACAGTTCTGGATCAACAATGCAAAGTGAGTGTCATTCGCAGTTTTGACGTGGGATCAAAATCAACCCGCTCTCACAGCTTCGTCGTGAGCGGAACGGGCGTCGATCCCCTCATCGGTGAGTTCGCACCGACACCGCCTGAAACGCGTACGAGTC